TTGCAAAGAAATTTAATCTAGCAGAGATAGGAAAATTCCCTACTACACTACTATTAAGTAAAGACATTAAAAAGAGCACTAGAGAAGCCACTAAAAAGGAGATTAAGGACTATCAGGAGCGCGTTAGATTAATCCTTTACACCTTAATTATAGTGCGCCCTAATATTACCTATATAGCCTCCTAGCTCTCCTAATACCTTACTAACCTATCTAAACAACACTTTAATATAGTTAATTAAGTAATTGTCTATCTATACTAAACTTAATACTAATTAATCTAATATAGGAATAGCGGAGTCCTAATAAGCTTATAATATATAGTAATACGTTATTTGCTAATAATATTAATACTTAGCAATTATTATATAGATACCTAATCACGCTCTTTAGAGGACCTATTATTTAGAAGGCAGCTTAATTATTAACTATTACTACTTTAACTACTAAGGTAGAGCTCCTTATACTTAAGCAAGTAAGTAAAGAAGTAATAGTGTTAAAATATTTTTTAACTAAAATACACCTTACTTTAGATACTACCTAGATAATTAATTATAATAATTAATAAACTATTAGGTTAGTAGTAGGTAATAATAAAAGGATTACTACTAAGCTACGCTATGTAGATATTTAAAACATGTAGCTTAGGTAAGAGTATATAAAGGGATCTTTCTATATTACCTACCTACCTACTAGTAATATACTAGCTAATAGGCTTACTAAAAACCTAATAGTATAATAATTTATAAGGTTTAGGGAGCACCTAAAGTTATATAATAGTAGAGTATATATTATATAGTAATAATTAAAGTAAGGTAGTATATAAGATCTATTAATATATAATATAAAAATAACTAACTATAGCCTACCTCTCTATTATTAACTAGGTAGCTTCCTTAAGGAGCTCTATTACGCGCGCAAAGCGTGCCTTAGAGTCTATAGGGAGCTACCTAGGTTGCCCTACCCTAGGATCTATAAGGGGAACCTTAGAGGAGCTAGAGTCCTTATCTTCTAATAAGGAGCTCTAGGCGCCCTTAGCTATAGAAGTAGCCTTGCGCGCAAGCTTAGTAGTAGTAGTAGCAGCTTTTACTAGCTCCTGCTGTTTAGCCTTGCTCTCCTTAAGGAGCACTAAGACCCTTCGCTTCTTATCCTTAAGAAGGTCTTAGCTCTTACTTACCTACTTCCTTGCTAGGAAGGATAGTGTAGAATATTAGGCAAGCTTAGGGCTATTAGTTAGTTTATTAGTATAAGATCTTACTAAGTATTATAAAGGAAAAATTCTTATATAGATTATATATATTAGGATATAGCTATACCTAGAGAAGCACTACTAGCACTAAGTCCCCCTACTAGAAAAGTTATAGCACTTGCTATTAGACTTATTAAAGAGCACTAAGCGTAGATAATTTAGATAAGTTTTAGTACAATAAATACTAGGCTCTCTATAGTAAGAGGATCTTAGGGTCTCCTTAGGAGCTAGAGAGGGAGCAGGGGTAGGAGCAGGGGCCTTAGGTAGAGTCTAGGGAGGAGCAGGAGCTAGAGTTAGAGCTAGAGTAGTAGAAGCTAGAGTAGGAGCGCCTTACCTTAGCTTTATAATCTTAGCTATAGTAGTAGTAGCTATATACTTAGCTACTATATACTCTATAATAGCCTTACGCTTAGTAGTAGTACGCTCTTCTTTAGTAGTAGTAGCTTTAGTAACTATAGCTTTAGCTATATAGGAGGTAATAAGGGTAGCGTAGGTAGAGTAAGCGTAAGTAGTAGGTTTTAACTTTAACTAAGATATAGGTTAGTAGGGATATAGGTATAGTTTAGATCTTTAGGGTTATATAATCTTATAACTTAAGCTATAGTAAAAGATTATAGTTAGGTAGATAGAGTTATAGAGCTCTATCTAGATAATATCTACACGCGTAAGCGTAGGCTAAATAAAGAAGGCGCGCTAGTTAGTATCTAAAGGGTAAGCTAATTTAACCCTTTAGATATATAACGCTCTAATTAGCTACACTACCTACTAACTATAAGCGTAACTATAATAATAAAAGATCTACCTATACCTAGGGGGTGTGTTGCAGGAGGGATATTAACTAGATTACAGAGTATCTTAATCCTAATTAATCCTAATTAATCCTAGTTAATACCCCTGTATAACCTACTATCTAATTAACTACTAGCTTACTACTAAGTGCCTAATAAAAAGCAGGAGCTCTAGTAAGGAAGGTTTACTAATTATTTACCTTCTAGTAAGGGTAGCTAAAGCTCTATATATATAAGTCTGATTGTAGTAGATACAATCTAATAATCTATCTCCTAAATTATTCCTAACCTTAGTAATCTAAATTTCTATAACTTAGTTTAGGTCTCTATATTAAGTAGTAACTATAGCTACCCCTATAGTAAGTCTATTATATAAGGGGATAATAGGTAAGCGTAGTATATACTTCTTATAAAATAAACTTAATAGAAGCGCTAGTAGTTTATTAACTACTACTACTATATATAATATTAGGGATCTATAAGGCTAAAATAGCGCCTAAAGCCTATAATATATTAGGAACATGTTACTAACACGTTTCTAAAGCTACTAACTAGCTATTTGCTTACTATCTATATTAATAGTTATACTATAAAATCCTTCTATATAGAGATAGAACCACCTTATAGGCTAGCTACTACACTTAGCTATAAAAGAAAAGAAGTAGGTAAATACAATCTTATATATCTTTAACTTCTTAAAGTCTATAATAATTTAACTAAGGGTAATAACTAGAATATATTAGTAATATATTCTTAATATATTAATATAAGTATTACTCTTTCTATAATCCTATAAGAAGATAGTAAAGAGTACCTTACTCTATCTACCTACAAGCCTCTTAAAGGATATATCTATCTAAAATATTTTCTATTTTAGTAAGATCTTTACCTACTTATTAAAGAAGTATATAATAATAGTTCTAATAGGAGAGGAAGTAATATACTAGATATATACCTACTAGGGTATAAGAATATATTTAGAACGCGTTTATAATATATTAACCTACTATAGTTAGTTCCTAATAGTTTAATTTCTACTTAAATATTACACTCTTAATATCCCTACTAAATAGAAAGTAAGCAAGCTTCTAACATATAATAAGCTAGGCTATTCTATCCTTATTTATAAAAGCCTTATTAAAGCCTACTATTAATATATAGCCCTTACTCTTTAAATATAAAAGAAGCTAGGTAGACTTAAGGAAATTAGCTAAATATGTTAGCAACATGTTACTAATATATTTATCTAGCTACTTATAGTATAAGGTTTATAGGGTAAGCTATAGATATAGAATATTAATATAGGCCTTAAGAGCTACTTATATTAGGATAAATAGAGGTAGAGGGGCATATAAATAAGTTCCTATAGTAATAAGGAGGAAATATAGGAGTTGCTAAAGGTTATCTAGGATAATAATATAGTATTCTACTATATACTTATTATACCTCTATATCTTTCCCTACCTATATAGGTAATCTATACCTAAACCTATTACTAATATATTTATAATATATTCTAAAAGCACTTACTATATATTTTTATATTACTTGTCTATAGACTAATTATATTATATATAGTAGATAATAATTATAGTAAGCTATATAAAAAGAGCTATTAAAGGTATTCTAAATTAATATTATCTATAACCTAGTATATATAGTAGTGTTTAGTATATAGACTTAAGTAGTATACTTTATATCTAATAAACTACTTATATTACCTAGCTAGTAGCTATAACTTATTAGTAACATGTTTAGAACACGTTTAATAAGAATATATACCTAGTTCTATTATTATCCTATATATAGCTTATATATAGGCGTTATAGGCCTATAGAGACCCCTCTTATTAGACCTACATCTAAGGGTAATATTTAGCCTAGATACTTTATTATAATATATTATAAATATATTAAAAAGCTATTATACCTAGTTACTTTCTTCTTCTCTATACTTAAAGTTTCCTATAGTAATACACTCTAGATTTCCTATAGATTTATATACTCTTTTAGCGTAATTTTATTATATATATATAAGTATAGGTTATCTTAAAGATATTTATAGTACTTTATTCTTATATACTTATATTTCTATCTATACTTATATATATTTAGGTAAGGACTAAATATTAGTTAGTTAGAGAAAATAGCTAACTTAGAATATTAGAACTATAATATATTTAGAACGCGTTAAGAATATATTTATAGTATCTTATATTAAGTACCTACTTTAGTATAGCCTTCTTAGATATTAGTTCCCTAAATATAAGTTAAGCAAGGCGTATATAGTATATATAGCCTTTCTCTAGGCTTATAGGATACTATAGAATAGTAGAGAGCTATATAATAGTCTTAGCCTTAAGGGTGTTACCCTTACTATTTCCCCTAGATAAATAGATATAATCCTATATTAATATATTATAAATATATTCTTAATATATTTATAAATAGAATAAACCCTTAGAATAGGTATTAGAGACTAAATATCCTCCTCTATAGTATCTTCTTTAATTATAATAGTCTTAACTAGATTACTAAGGGTAAAGTCTAGTTTAAGATTAAGCACCTCTAGCTTATTAAGTACTAAATTATAGAGGAAGAATAAGTTATCTATAAGATAGATATTAAAGAATATAATATATTACAAATATATTATAAATATATTTCTATATAATTAATATTATATATATAAAATAAGTGTACTAGGCTATAGACCCCTGTATAGTAGGGTCTAGTTAATCTACGGATTACGACTTTGCGTTAGTCTATGGACGGACCTATTTTTCCTATGGTCAGTTGACATGCTGCCTCCGCTCGAAGCTCCCACGCAAAATCTGAGGCGTCTTCATAATAAAGCCTTCATCACTCACAAGCAAGGAAACAATCGCAGTGTTGCTAATAACTTTCTATACCTACTCGATAACACGATTCAGCCAGAGAAAAAAAAAGCCGCCACATACTCGATCCATGGCCTCTTTCGGGGTTATCGTCTCCGGTCGCCCTATCCTCACAGACGCGCAAGTTGTGTCACAAACACAATTCGCCTTCCAGATAGCCTCGCAGCCGCCCTTTTCGCACATTGTCGTCTTCTTGCTCCCAGGAATCACGCTGCCAGATGGCACGGCCGCCGCTGTCTACGCGCAACTGCCGGGCGCATCAGAGTTCCAGCTCCTCGGTGCCATCGCCAACGAGAAGCCGAGCGCCATCTTCAAAGTGAACAGCAAAGCGGGTGGGCCCGCTGGTGGCGGACTCGGCGATACCGATGCCATGGTGGATGATGCGGTCTCAGACGGCAACGCCGTTCCCCTCGCACTGGGCATATCTGTGGAGCCTGCACAGCAAGTCGCTGCGGCCCTGGAGCAGAAGAAGCTGCAGGAGGCGGCAACGTCAACAAATACGGCCCAAGGCAGTGAACTGGTATTAAGAGGGCAGCGCTCGGTCACGACAAAGGTGTTGGCACAAAGAATCATCAAAAACTGCTACGATTTCTTGACGAGCTGGGGCTCGGGTGACACAGTACCCTTGAAGGCATTCCAGGCGTGGTGGACCAAGTTTGAGAACAAGATTGAACGTGATCCAACATTCTTGGAGAGAAGTGATGGTGGTTGAGCAGACATGAGGCGCTGTTCGAATTGCAAACAGCTTTCTCAACACTCAGAAGCCTTTGTTTACTCCATCCCAATCTGGTTCGGCAAGCCAGGCCTTGTACATCACACCCGGCCAGCTTACCATGGGCGCCTTTGCAGGCTTCTCGATCGCTTGCGCAACCACCGCATCACCAAGCACCTTCTCGATATGTCCACGATGATACATCCCTTCTAGCTCCTCCTTCAGCGGCAATAATAGATTCCAGTCTTCAGTTTTACGCCCAAAGTCCGTTATGACTGCGACCCTGACCAGCCGCGACAACTCGCCAATTCTCTCTGCGATGCCGGGACTTGTATGGATTGCAATGGCCGTCCAAACCTCATGCTTTTCTGACTCGCTGACCTCGTGTTGGGAAAGGTGTTTTACGGCCGCATCTGCGCCTTCGACTTCGAAGCGTTGCGGACCGTCGTATGCAGACGTTGTACCAATGTCGTGGAATATGCACGCCGTGAAGAGGAGGTCGAGCTTCAAGGGGTCCATCGAGTAGGTTGACGATGCATGGACAGCCAATGCTCTGGCGTATGAATACACCCGGATGCTGTGGTTGAGAATCACGGGGTGCAATAGGCTTGCGGCATGCTCGTACGCAGACTTGGATATTGCCGTCTGGGGAACTATCGACTCAATTCCTGTTGGCGGTGGGTATTGTGATGCAGTAGTGGATGAGGACGAGGAAGAGGCATTTAGTAGTTCAATCGGCCGTGGACACATGATGTTTCTTCCAGACGAAAAATAAATCAGTTTCCTGGAATTACGTAGAAAGCAAGAAAGAAAGAGAGAAAGAAAGAAAGTATTGGAATAATCTTCACAATACCGTTGCAAGAGCAACAGAAGCCAATGTCTGCTAGGTGAAGCCACTTTTCGTCGTTTTAAGTGATTGATCTCGGTCGTGAGTCTGCAGTTTATTTCTCCACGCCCTGTTGTCGACGGTCATTTCTTGTCTAGCCCGATGGAGAATGGAGGGGTAAGAGGGGTAGGCACGCAGGCGGGCTACTTCTAAGCCACATCTGAGGCTGACGGGCCTTTATACTACAATCACCTACCGTACTCTGAGACCCCCTACAGCTCATACATTGTCTATTGTTTACCCTATCGAACTTTGGCTTTCTCTTGAGAAATCCGAAGATGTAATGATTCCATCGTCTACAGCCACATTCTGTCGGTATCCCAGGTCTCATCAAATATGATCAAATAAGCTTTCAGATTCTAGCCAAACCAGCCTCAGCGAATTTTACCTACTTTATGCTCCTTTTACCTAACATCTTGTCTCTACAAGAAAGGAACCCCCGCCCCGTTGCTCTGATTAGCTCTTTACATACTTACCCTTGCGTGACAAGATTCCTGGCGATCGTCTAGCGTGGGTGGAGAGAGTAGGGGGGTGTACATGACTGGGTATGTTAATTAGGGTTGTTGTGAGCACTATTGAAATTAACATGTCCAGTATCCAAGGATTTGGCTTCTGCAAGTTTCTCCATTGAAAAAAAAAGTGTCGTGTAATAATAATTCCCCTCCCCGCCTAGGTTCATACATACTCCAACTAGGTCTTAAGCCACATGTTCCGTCTCCGAGGGCCAGACCACACGCCAAAGAGTTATACGATGTAAGTGATACACTTATCGTAGTGAACTTTACACTGTACTAGAGCAGCTCGGTTAGTTGTTGATGCAAGCGGATGCACGATGCTAATTGGGGCTTGGACTCCGCAAAAGGCTAGGGTTTTGCTGTGCTCCAGATGCAGTATGGGTTGTGGAGAGGAGGGGGCTAAAGAGGGTTTTGGGAGGGGTTTGACCGATTTCGTGGGGAGAGTATGGGGGAGGTGTGCATGATGGTTGTGTGGTTTGGATAGTGAGGGGCTGTGATGTCGACGTTGTAGTGGTTATGGAAATCAAGGTAGTTAACACCTAGGTGTTGCTGCTACGTAGCTGCATCTAATTTTGAAACATGGAGATATGTCATTTTTAGTATTTATCCTCCTGTCTATTATGAAGTTCCAGGTGCAGGTGTAGGCAGTGTATATTATACTGCAATCTTGCGGCTAGATAACGAAAGTAATTCATGACTGGCATCAGACCATGTTATACTGCATTATTGGTCGCGACTGGTACCTTTTGCCGCTAGAAATCTCCGAAGTACGGTATAAAGTATGCTGACTTTGTCATTCATAAGGGTAGAGTTGTCAAGAAGTTCGTTGGAATGCATACAAAAGTGTAAGGTGATGTTGTCTTGACAAGCTACTTTGACCGACCACGAATTGCTGCGGGCCCTGATACCAGATTGCAGCGCGATGAGAATAAGCACTCTCTACCCTCTCTGTCTTCACAACGTCTAAATTCCAAATTTCCAAGGCAAGTAGCGTCTTACAGAAGCACAAACGGTTCGCACGTGTCAGGGTCTAAGCCGCCAAAACGCTATGTCATGACATCATTGTGCCTCCAAGTAACAGCCCCCTTAACTACACCAACAAGCGCCTATACACAATGACAAAAGCGATTGGAGTATTCCCCTCACCATGTCCAACGACATCGTCTCCAACCGATCCACCCTAAAGGAATTCCTCGCCTCCATAGCCACCATCTCAGGAGACCTCAGCAACATCACCGCGCCCCCCTTCGTACTCGCAGAAAACTCGACCGTCGAAATCCCCCAATACTGGGCCGATCACCCAGACCTCTTTGTCGCTCCTGCTGCAGAGCCAGACCCAGAGAAACGCGCCCTCCTCGTACTCAAGTGGTTTCTCGGATCCCTGCGAAACCAGCAATACGCGGGGCGAAGGGAAGATGAGGGCGTCAAGAAGCCTCTAAACGCCTTCTTAGGCGAGCTCTTCCTCGGCAGTTGGCAGGATGCAGAGCTGGGTGAAACAAGATTGGTGTCTGAACAAGTCAGTCACCACCCACCCATCACGGCGTGCTACCTGTGGAACGAGAAACACGGTGTGCGTGCCGAGGGCTTCACGCAGCAGGAAATTACGTTCAATGGCAGTGTGCATATCAAGCAAAAGGGCTATGCGGTCCTACACATTGACAAGTACGACGAGGATTATCTGATTCCCGTGCCAAATGTCAAGGTCAAGGGAATTCTTAGCGGAATGCCGTATCCAGAATTGCAAGGCTCGTATTCGCTTATCTCCTCGAGCGGATATGTCTCGCATATCAAGTTTGAGGGCAAAGGCTTCTTCGGCACCGGAACCAAGAATGGCTTTCAAGCCCGCTTATACCATCTCGAGCAGCCGAAACACGACCTCTACACGGTCAAGGGGGCGTGGAACGGCGTGTTTAGCATTGCTGATGCGCATGGAGCAGAACTCGAGACCTTTGACGTGGACAAGCTTCCGTCTGTGAAGCTGGACGTTCCCGACCCGGCGGAGCAGGATCCATGGGAGTCGCGGCGAGCGTGGGGAGAGGTGATTGCTGCGCTGCGCAGAGGGGATATGCGGGGCACTACGGACGCGAAATCTCGTGTCGAACAGGGCCAGCGGGAGATGCGCAAGCAAGAAGAGGCCCAGGGGAAACTGTGGACGCAGCTCTTCTTCCACACTGTGCAGCAAGACGCCGTGTTCGAGCGACTCTCTGTTCACGACCGCGGGTCCTACACTGTCGATGGCAAAGGAGGGGGTTGGAAAGTCGAGACCGAGGCTGTCAGGACCGCCAAGAAACCATTTCATGCCGATCTCGTTCCAACCAACCAGAGGATCAACGGTCGGGACCTGAGACAGGAACAGGAACAGCCGCAGGCACAGGCACAGAAACAAGACATCAACCGCGGGGATAAAGTTCAAAACCAACCAAGGCCACAAACACCTCCTACAGCAACAGCCACTCCGCCCACACACACGAGTAGTGATGACAACGGCGCCACAAATAGCCACCCGCCATCCCAACAACATGTCCCCGATGACCTCGACGCACAAATGGATACTCTTGACTTGCAAGACCGACATACCATGGGCGCGGCAGTAACAGGGGCCAGTAGTGCAAACACTCCACCTCTCAACAACGCCGTGCGAGAACCAAGCGTTGCCCAAGTCGAAGATTTCTTGCGTGCCAGATACAGTAATTTGCATTGATGTGGTCAATTACCATCATCATCATAAGCAGATGCATAAGCATAAGCATCAAGCATCCTAGTATTCTTCCATGTAGTTCGAACAACCTGTGCACATGGCGTGAGTCTCTCGAGGCTCACTCAGACGCAAAAGGGGGGGTTTTTTCTTTCGAGAGTATGGTTATGATCTATTCATTCACAACGCTTCGTTTATTTCCGGGTGTGTATGTTCTGAACGTTACATAGCGTCTCTCATAGTAATAGTGCCCAGGGGTATCCATCAACAAGAAAGAAAGAAAAAAAAACTTCTGATCCTACGCCTTTGCCACAGCGGGGTCCGCTTTGCATGGCGCCCTGTCCTTTTTGCCGAGTTGCATGGGTTTGAAGCGGGATATAGGGGCATGTTTGTGTTATATGTACATTTTTTTTTAAATTTGATTTGGCGAAGTTTTTGTTATTTACTATATCGCTTACTACCGTCGTTCAGTCTGTTGGTGGAGTTCGGTTTGCATGGTGATGGCGCCCTGCCTGCACTCCTCGTCCGAGACCTTGCCGGCCTGAATCGTCCAAGTGTTGAAGCCCTTTTCGCTCTTCTCCGTGTGTCGCTCGTGGACGAGGTCGTCGCGTAGACGAATGGGTGCGAGATCGCCCATGCCGTAGTCCTCCTCGTTGTCCCTGATTGTGCCCTTTTCTGTGCGGAACAGTGTGCTTGATAGGCTGAAGAAGCCCGGCTTTTTCTTGCTGTTGTTGCTGGGCACGCCTTTCCACTGTGGCGTGCGCATGCCAGAGGGCTTGGATCCGCCAAATGGGGTACCACTCGAGGCGATCCCGAGTGTGGACGAGACTTGGCGCCATAGGGGACGGAGAGTGGCCAGGCTACCGGCGGTAATGGCGAGACCTTGTTCGATGTCGCTCCAGATGGCGACGTCGAGGGTGGCCCAGAGGAAATCGGGGTCCTTGAAGTCCATGACGAATGCCATGCGTACGACGACGGCTACACTTGCACTGTAGAAACTTTGTTAGCGGATGAGGAGAGACTGGTTTCCCAAGGGTAAAACATACACGCAAGCCATTCCGAGAATGGGAATCAGCATGATCCTGCTCCGTCGAGACATGTTCAAGCCCCAAATAAGGAAGACGGGAAGGATAGCAAAAGTGAAGTCGCAGATGACCGAGATGGCGCTGTAGAGGAAAGTGAGGCCGATGATGACATCCATTTGTATGCAATGTCCTGTCTTGATGGACTTGTCCCAGAAAAACTTGATGGGTGTACACTGAAGCAAAGTGACGAAGAAGAAGATGAGGCCGGTGAGAACGGTGAGTCCCATGGTCGTGTAGATGATGTACTTGTGCACTGTCTTGACAGTAACACGAAGGAGGAACAGGCCGATGGAGATCTTGGATGCGATCATGGCCCAGCAGTAGGCAATGTAGCATAGCCACCAGTACTAAAGATGTTTTTTCAGTTGAGGTAACAGATCCTCTGATGGATCTCAGAACATACTCTCATGGCTTTGAAAATCTCCTCATTCGTCAGAGTGTCCATGTGTCGGCCTGTGCCATAGTAGACGCCCCCGATTGCGCAGGTAGCGAACATTACATGTGAACACTAAATAACATAAGTATATTGCCAGTCGAATGTACGAGCATGTTGGAACCTACAAGTGCGAGTACCATGAATCCATCATCTGGAAATTTGCCATGTCAGCACGAGCGCCGATTTGATACTGCATTGGGAGGACCACCTACCCCAGCCGAAAGCCTTCACTATAAAAGTTCGTACATAGATCCGCAGCACAGTAGCAATGAAAGCGAAGGAAACGAATACAGAGCAGACCTGTTGTAAATTCTCAGCATCTTCGTCTCCTGCCCACTTGACTCCATGGGATATGGATATGGAGCAGAGGGGAGGGGTACTGTACATACCACCACTAGCTCTGGGCCCCGATTTTCCGTCATTTTCAAAGGGCCGCCGTCGTCGTCTGGAAAGACAGTTCACCCCAGATTCAAAAATCCAGAATCAAGCGCGTCCCGCAGCGAAATATACCCATAGCCGTGGACGTTTGAGCGAGCGTCCGTTTTGGTTAGCGAGTTCTCAATGCAAAGGACACTAGATGCATGCCAGGGGAACGGGCGGCGGCTCGAGGCCTGCAACCATTACTGGATTAGATCCGCCACTTGGTGTACTAGGGAAGCAGGGCTTGGGCTGCAAGCGGTGTTGAACGAAGAAAAGCTCGTGCGTTCGGAAAAGGGTCCAGGGGCGTGGGTTGCAGAGTTCTCGATGCTCGATGGAGATCACTACATGAGATGATATTACGTGCTGTGGCTTTGCAAGCTACAGTCAGATGACAGCCGTTTGGACTGGAGTACTCTGGAGAAAAACTTTCGACGATCCATACTCCATCCTCCCATCCCGTTCAGATGCCAGTTTGGGTCCTAAGTCTGTTCCGCAACGGAGACTATGCGGGCGCGAAGGGCAAGTTCAACAGCCAACTTGAACTACTGTCCGTCCGTACCCGCACTCGAGCGCGGTCAATCACTGGCGCCTCTCACCCGTCTCAAAACTCGCCACTTCTGTGGTCTCCGCTCTTCTCATCATCCTTCAGAGGCAAGGCAGCCTCCTCCTCTCTTGATGCGTCTGATCGGCCCACCGGCAGCAAGTCGGTGTTGGAGCTTCTCTGTCGCGTGGCATCGAGAGCGGGAAGGATCCGCAGGACTGCCAGGGGGAGGATTGATGCGATGCAGACTCCAATGGACGATACATGAATCGCAATTTGGTTGTCCAGGCTGTGAGCCGTGTTGGGGTGAAATCTCCGTTCGTGAACAGCCAAGCGAGAGAGGGGCTAGTGCGGATTAGGTAAGTGAGGAGAAGATGGCAGGGGTGTCCAGAACGTCGGCGAACATCCACACACAGTTGGTCTCTGCCTACACAATGGGTGAAACTCAATGGACCCAGTGCCGAGGCATGGGCAATGGCGATTGGATGCTTGCATACGAGTCAGATTCAACCTCGACAATAGGAGTACTCAATGTCTTGACTCTTGATTGCGGCATGATAGACGCGAGACACCTGGCTACTATTTCACCTCCCCTAGCAGCCTGGGTGTGCCTGAGTCCTGACTCTCTCCTCCGCCTTTTCCTTGGTAGAGGGGCCACATCCTACACAGTACATACAACAAATCCCGCGCAGGGCTGACGGCATGGACAAGGGGAAACGTACACAGTGGATCCTATGACTGATGATGCCATGCCTACTATCATCCTTCGACTCGATATCGGTATAGAGTATGCACACGTACCTACACGGCAAACCGTCTCCTCTGTCAGGGGTCATCTTCCGATCAAGCGGGCGATAGCACGGTAATAAGGAAAAATGCCATGCCATTCCCTGTCACATGCATAACCACCATCACTAGGAGGATCTCGATTTCCAACATACTTGATCGATTCTGACTGAACTGACCTGAAGCATCAATTCAAGTCCACCACCTCCTAAAGTAATCAGTCAGAACAAAAAAAAAACACTGGGCTGATGTTGCTGCATGCTAGCACACCTCAATTCAGAAGTGGATCAGCCCCCCTTAGTAGGCTCAGTAGAGCTCACTAGCATCCTCATGCGTTCCCGCTGCCACGGCAATAGCAACTAGCTTCTACTTTCACGTCGGCTACCGCTTGCGCTATCCTCAGTTGCTGGCCCACAATCCCAGCCTCATCCTGACGACCTAGCCTCACCAGACATTCATGATATCCATGCAGCGCCCAAACGTTATTGGGATGCTGTCTTGCCCGCGGCAGAGTGTCGTCAAAGCCAAGATCCGCACGATAGGCAACAGCAGCGTCTTCTACCCGTCCTTGCTCCATCAACAGAGCAGCATAGGCATGTCTGGTGGGTTGCATCCATGGCCAGGGTTCTGCGTAGTTGAGCGCATCGTCTCGCTCAATCGCCTCCTGAAGATGCTGGAAGGCTGACTCATAATTACCTTTGCGATACTCAAGCTCGCCGTCTAGCATAGCGAGACCCACCATCAGGACGACATTGGATTTGTTCGGGAAGTCGCCGCATATCCGCGAAGATGGTATCCGCTGAACAGCTTCACCCAACTGGTCTCGCTCTGCTTGGGCTTTGGCGACATTCCCGGTAGCCGCGTAGGCCACGCCCTTACCGTAGTGTACCATGGCTGTCGTTACACAGTGCAAGTGTCTATCTGCGGGCATCTCCATGTCTATCAAGTCCTTCCAGCGGCCAAACCGTACTAGAACATGAATGCGAACTGAAGCAAAATTCTCGAGCCTTACCAACCTTTGCGTCAGCATCTATCTGCCACAAAGCAAAACAAGGAATTGCTTACCAGTCCGCCATTGGTGGACTCTCGATTCGAAGCAGAGTTTCAGGTAAGGAAGCTTCCATCCGACCGACTGTGTCCAACGCGACCTTGAACTGGCCGGCGAACATGGCCGCATAAATCAGCGAGTGATAGTCGTGCAACCTGTAGACCGAATAGAAATTGTCGCCTCCATGTTCAGCAAGATATTTTTCATCAGCAAGACAGGCGTCTGCGTTGGAGTCAATAGCTCGTCGATAGTCACCAACAAGGATATCAAGGTGCGACGGCATGTGAACCAAATGGCCCGCATCGGGACTTAGCTTGCGCAGATGATCGGCAGCCACCAACGCCACCTCTGGCGTCTTCGACATCTCCATTAGGTGGATGTATAGATGCAGGATCCCAAGGTGTTGATGCGCACCATTCTGACCGAGCGCCTTTTCCAAGACTTGCTTGGCTTCCACTGACCGCGACCCTGGGGTTGGCAGGCCGGTTTTGAGATCCCATAGATTCCAAGCTGATAGATTCATGATCGAGTCCGCGTACAGGGTAGCCACGTCGAAGTCGTCGCTGAACTGCTCGTAGACCTGCTTCATGGCTTCGGCATACTCCTCATTGCACGCCTTGAATGCATCTTCATTCAACCCCTTTGGCACCCGAACTTGAATGGCATCGATCAGAGCTCTCTCCACAGGAGTAGATCCAGAAACACGTGTCCTGGCCTCTGCATTTGCCTGGTGGATTCTTTGCAGCGTACTTTTCAATTCATTCTCATCGAAGAGGTCCCATGGCTTGTTGTAATTCGGACCGAGTGCAAACGCCAACTGTCGAGTCAGTCCCGATGTCTGCCGATCCTATGGTGAACGATGAAGACTCACACCCCAGTAGGCCATCGCACATTCGGCATCCTGGTAGATCCCTCTCTCAAAACAAAGGGCCGACTCCTATTCAGACCGCTAGGTATCAGTACAGTACTGTGGTGGTCTGTCATGAAACAACGCAGACTCAAGCCTCGGAATTCAGGTCGTGCAATAGTCAACAATGGCAACGCACCTAGCAGAGGTCAGCACATTCCCAGCAGCAGCAGCAGCAGCAGCAAAGAAAACGAATTGTAATTGATCCTTCCGACTCACCTCGTGATGAAAAGCATAACTCCAAATCAAGCCCCGATCAAACCACGTCTGTGCTTTCTGGCTTGCAGTCGTGACCTTTCGATGGAATCCGCCAAGCTCGTATCGATACTGATCAGCATTTCTGGTCATGATGAAAGTTGTAAAGGCGCAAGTCTACAGCCGCAAGGGACAAATATTAACATTTGGGAGGGAGGGGGGAGGGTCGAACAAGCAACGATTCCCTGAGACGCATCAAAAACCCCGCATGGACCGAAGAGAAAAAGTGGGGGTGCTTTCGCTCTCACTCTCGGTACTCGCCCAGTACCGTTATCTCACCCAGTCTCTACGGACCCGATGGCCGGGTGTGAGCCTTGCGTCGAAACGTTTCTTGGGCCGTGGTGAATAGATACATGCTCGAAACGGGTTACTAGGAGATACCTACAGGACGTAGAAGAACGGGCCAAGATACAGATTACCAGGAAATTGCACCCATTGCGTGATTGGCTTCGACGAAATGCGAGTTTTACCGTGGACTGTTTGGCTGATCTGCAATCCTCTGAACTTCGTCGGCTTCACGTGCGTGCGCCTCGCCTCCTCTTTCGACCTGCCGCGGTGTTGTCAACCCTTCCCTTCGGCGGTGAGACTTGGTGGCCGCTAGCCTCGCATCAATGTGCGGAGATGAATTGGGGTGAGTATGTGCCTATCGGAGAGCAGCCTGGTTTAGTTTGTCTGTTTCAACTGGCCGAATTCGTATATTGAAGGCAGATATGCGAGCGAAATAGGCCATGCCACAGCACCGGAGATCAGGGCGAGGGGGCTGCAGTTTTCTGCTTGGCCGACTGAACTGTTCAATGCTGTGTCGGCTACTCTGATGCAGGAACCGGAAGCAAAGTTGCGCATTCGCAACTGTACGCGACTACGTATGCATCCTTTCATAGTTCACACGGTTGAAGCCCTGCTCCAACAACCCACCTCAAGGGCTCAACCTCTCAATCTTCCACTCACCATCCCCATCTGCACTCCCCTCCACCCTCCTATACACAAAGCGATCATGCAACCTACTCTCCCTGCCCTGCCAAAACTCCACCAAATCCGGCACAACCCTCAAGCCGCCCCAAAAGTCCGGTACGGGAATCTTGTCCTTGCCCTCAAACTTCCTCTCCACTTCTTCTACCTGCCTCTCCAACTCCTCCCTTCCCTCCAACACACTGCTCTGCCTACTAGCCCAGGCCCCAATCCGACTCCCGCGAATCCTCGTATCGTAGTAGACCTGACTTTCTTCAATCGTCAAACGCTCCACCCTCCCTCCAACCCGTACCTGCCGCTCTAATTCGCGCCACCAGAATGTGAGCGCAGCGTGTGGGTTGGAGCGAACATCAGCAGCTTTGCGACTCGTGTCCCAGTTGGAGTAGATGACGAAGCCGCGGGAGTCGAGTTCCTTCATGTAGACCATGCGTGCAGAGACCTTGCCATCTGGCAGCGAGGCAGTAGAAAAGGTTACGGTTTCCGGCTGGTAGACAGAGGCAGAAGTTGCCTCTTGGAACCATTTATGGAATTGGTCTGTAGGAGAGGGAAGTAGGTCGCTGCGGTCCAGCGCGCCTTTGGTGTACTGGGTTGCATGGCCGGGATCCGAGGAGTTGGAAGTGGGAGCGAAGATCTTCTTGGCCGTCGATGTCGCGGAATGCAGCATTTTGCCTGTCTGGTGAAGATGTCGACAGACTGATGGTAATGATAATTGCGCTGGCCTGATGCGGGGTTGTGTAAGGCGTACCGTGCTTCTATACAGCTTTGGCCCTCTCCTGATCAGCATGGACGACGAGGTGTGATGCTCTGAGTTCTGGAAGGCAATCAACAGGAGAGCATGGCGTGACTCAGTCTTGGAATAAATGACCTTCTCCACGTCCAAGTGGTCTTAGGTTCCCCACGATCGGCGCCAGGTGGGATGACGTAATGAAAGCTTAGCGCACATCCTTGAACAGCTCAAAAAATACCATTTGGCCTTATTTTTTGTGAAAAGAATAGAAAAGCAAATAAGTTTACTTAATTTTTTTTTTGGAATATCCTCATTAAATCTTAACATGTTATATTCAAAGATTCATCATACAAGACAAGTGTGTATGGTTTTCTTGTATTGGAAACAGAACCCTCGAAGAAGAAAACTAAATCTCAATTCAAAGTGCGCGCTCAGATTTTCCAAATAAAACGCCGCAAAATGACAATATGCCGTCCATGCAATGCCATAGCTCATATGTACATCCGTCTCATTTTCGAACAAACGTCTACTCTCCATCTGATTCCTCTTCCGCAGTCTATAGTGTTTGTCAGTATTTATTACTAGAGCAAAGAAGTCAGGACTACTTACGTTGTCATGGAAATTTGTACCGTGGGTGGTCTCGTTGATGTAGCCTTTCCTGATGACAAAGTCTCCAAAGTGCTCGCCTTCGTTTCGTTCCTTGGCGTACTGCTTGATCAATGGCTTCATAATTTCCAAGATCTCATCCTCTTTGATGGAACTCCTATACAGCTTGTTCAATCGCTGGCCGTGGTAGCCACCACCAAGATACATGTTGTAGGCGCCGTACGCCTTGCCGACAAATGCCACCTCGGCGAGCCAAGGACGAGCGCAGCCATTGGGGCAGCCGGTCATTCGCATGACAATGCTATCTTGTCGCAGACCAGACTCCTCCAGTGTACCCTCGAGCTTAGAGATGAGCTCAGGTAGATAGCGCTCTGACTCGGCCATGGCCAAACCACAAGTAGGGAAGGCGACACAAGCGGAACTGGACAACCTCATACCAGAAAAGTTGGTATTGTCGAGCTTCCACTTCTTGAGAAGCTCCTTCATTGCGGGCAGATCCTCGTCTGCTACGTTGGAAAGGATGAGATGTTGGTTACCAGTCAATCTGAATTCGCCTTTGTGCACCTTCGCAACTTCTACGAGACCTGTCTTCATGGGGAACTCAGCAGTGTCCTCAATACGACCGTTCTCAATGAAAAAGGTGAAATGGTTGAGGCCGTTCTCATCCTTTTGCCAGCCAAAGGTATCAACGTTGCTCTGAAACTTGAATGGCTTTGGATCCGCAAATTGCTGACCCCAGAGTTCTTCAACCTTGCCACGGAAGACATCGATGCCCATGTCGTCGATGGTGTACTTGAGACGGGCGTGCTTCCTGTTCTTCCGGTCGCCGTGGTCGCGTTGTACCAACATAATCTTCTCACACACAATGTGGACCTCCTCGGTTGGAACATAGCCGAACATGCTTCCTGTCCGTGGATAGGTCTTCTTGTTGTTATGAGTCACACCCATACCACCACCTGCAAGGACGTTGAATCCAACAAGATTGCCATCAGCACCCTTGATCGCAATGAGACCAATATCATGGGCGTAGACGTCAGTATCATTGTGTGGTGGGATGGCAATGGTGATCTTGAACTTTCGGGGCAAGTAGAGAGGACCGTACAGTGGCTCGTGGTCTTGGACGGCTTCACCAGCAACCTTCTTCTTCTGCTTCGTCTCGTCATCCTCGAGCCATATCTCGTGGTATGCCGTTGTCGAAGGAAGAAGATGGTCGCTTATCTTTTGGGATACGGCGTAAACCTGAGAGTGATAATTTGACTGAGTCGGAAGGGAACTGCACATGACGTTACGGTTGACATCACCGCACGCAGCAATGGTGGTCATCAAGGCCCTGTTGATGGCCTGCATTGCCGGCTTGAGCTTTCCTTTTACGACACCATGAAACTGGAATGTTTGCCGCGTTGTCAGTTTCATAGTCTCGTTCCCAAGCTTGGTACTGATTTCGTCCATCTGTAGCCACTGCTTGGGTGTTGATATACCTCCAGCAAGTCTGCATCGGATCATGAACGAATAGGCAGGCTCAAGTCCCTGTGCTTTGCGCTCATCACGGAGATCACGGTCGTCCTGCATGTAGGTACCATGGAACTTGGTAAGCTGCTGGTCACTGGCTGAAATAGCGCCAGTGCTCGTGTCCGCCAGACCCTCCTCGATGGTTCCCCTTAGGTAGTTTGATGCAGCCTTCATGTCCTCATTGGTGATTGGCGCAGGTTCCTCGGGAAGGCCCTCGACGTTGTCGACTCCAAGTGCTTGCCAGAGTTTTGGCTCCCACTCACTGTACGCCGTTTGGTAAGCATCTGGGTCTTGGTCGTCTCCGAGGCCACACTCGACAAGAGGCTTCGCGCCAAGGGTAAGCAGGCGAGCGTGAAGGTCTTTGGCAGGCTTGTTGTAATAGATCTTGTCCTCTTTACGTGGCCAGTAGTGGCTGTCACCAAGACCAAACACTGCGATGTTTACAGTCGCCAGGTCGAGATCTGTGGAATCCTTGACAGTCTCCCAGAATGTTCTGCCATTCTGAGGGAATTCTCCCTGGCCAGCAACACTGGTGAAGAGGACAACATTCTGCTCATTGGGCAGATCCTCGATGGGGAAGTCGTCCATGGCCATGACCATGGTCTTCAGACCCCTGGCTTTACCGCGGTTTGCAAGACGCTTCGCCAGGTTTTGAGAATTGCCGTTGTCAGACGCAAAAAGGACCGTCATGGGTTCGCCAGCAAGGCCATCAAGGAGCTGGCTGTATGCATCCTTGGCTTTGCGCTTCTGCAATTGTCTAACCTCGGTACCGTAGGATCCCGAGATGTTTGATGAGAATTGAGGGTGGCGCCTCATGACCTGTGACATGTAATTGTCACGCGCAAGGAATTCCTCGAGCTCCTTTTTGATTCTTTCAGAATCAAGTTTGAAGTTGTCTTCGCCCTTTTCCTCAGCCTTGGGGTTCCAGCGGTAGAGAGGCCAATAGCCAAGATCAACTGCCTTCTTTGTCTCCTGCAGGACAGTCAGAGGCGTATCCGTCTCCTTCTCGTAAGGTAGGTATGCCAGCACAACTGAAGGACCGTCGAACTTGTCGGCTTCAATCATAGCCTCCAGCACTTGGGTGTAAGAGCTGTACACAGCGACGGAAGCAACGTATGCGTTGCCGAAGTTCATCGCGTAAAGACCAATATCCTTCTTCCGCCTTGCGGCGTCGGCAGCATCGCGCTCTGAGTATGGAGTGGAGTCAATGATAAGCGTATTGACATTCTCACCGGATGCGAGGACGTGATGAACACCAGAGTTTCCGAGGTCATAAGCCCAAGCATCTGAACCAATCAACCAGGGTGACTCCTTGTAGAAGAGCTTCTTCGACTCCAACAGCTGGCTCGCAACGGAAGAACCATCCGTGCTCAAGCGCGCAATAACTTCCGGTGCATACTCGTTTGCCTTGTCAGTGTCTTCAGCGCTGAGCGCCCACTTCGATAGCCATTGTTTCGGCGCTTCGGTGACGAAGGCGTTGCCTTTTGAGGCAGTTGCAACCTCATCAATGAAACGCTTTCGGTGTTCCTGTCGCGCAATAAGCGAACCGAATCCATATTCGGGGCTTGATGATATATCGTTGGAGATGCCAGCGTGCTGCGATCCGAGCTGATTGGCAATGTGAAGTTTGTCGCCAAAGACCTGGTTGAGAATCTTCATGTAAGCATTCTCTAATCCCGGTTGCTCCACTTTCGCCGGCTGGGCTTCCGGTCCGTCCAGTTTGCCTATTTGAAGGTTCTGGACAGGTGATTCGCTTGTGAGATTCTGAAATACGCCGCGTAGCGCTTGCTGGACAGTCTTCTCGTTGATGTACCCTAATTGGTAGCCAACGACGATAGGGGCAGCACCACCAGTAGCCTTTAGTGACATTAACAAATCCAGGAGCACGGGACCCCATCTTGTCGTCTTTCGTCGAACTTGTTCTAGTACGGCGATACGCTTGATCGACCGGGGAAGGAGATGAGCAAGCGTGGCACCCAGCCAAGGTCGGTACAACCGAGCAGTGATAATACCAGTCTTGGCATATGTCTCTGTGTCTTCGACAGTGTCCAGCTCAGTGGCGAAGACACCGGTATCAGCGCCAAAGAGGAAAATGGCTGCCTCTTCTTGGCCTGTGCCAGTATATGCGAACGCGTCATAGTCACGTCCAGTCTTCTCCTTGATGGTCTCCCAAATCTGCTTGGCGAAACGATAGATGTCGTCTGAAGAAATGGGCTTCGAGACTAAAGACTCGACCGTTGTAGCTGAGGAGAGTGACGCAGCACTTGTGCTGGGTTCGCGCTGTGACGAACCCGACGAAGAATCAGCGCGCTGGCTGTTCCTCTCTGATACTGGTAGCGATGTCCCTCGCTCAGCTGCGTTTAATGGTGCAGCAGCTGGAGTGTTGGCGGCGTTCACAACCTGGCTACGAGCGAACGTCAGCGATGGATTTCGGCCATCATCTGCGTACAATGTGGTTTCGTCCGACTTGGTGTGCTGGAACGTTGCCGCAGCGTCCAAGTCGACCACGCTCCCAAACAGCTCCACATCTTCCAGCGGGATGGACTTCTTGAAAGCAGTGGCGCCCGAGTCAAAGAAGTGAATGACACCCTTGCCAGACTTGATAGCCAGAGCATGTGCTGTAATGGCAAGATCCTGTGATTCCTGTAGCGTCTCTGACTGGAGAAATGTGAAACCAGACTGCCTGATGGAAGTGATGTCTGAGAAGTCGGGGAAGCCCGAGGGCTGGACCGAGACGTGAAGAACGACAGGATATTGTGCGAGTTTGTAGAGGTGAGGAATAGATTTGACAAGGATGGAAGAGTCCGTAGTCACACTGGTGAGCTTACCAGCGCGAGTGGGCTGGAAGACTGAGAGGAGTGGATCCGCATTCTGGCGTAGGGAGACAATCTGGAGGCCAAGATGATTAGAACACTGTGGCCTATGATGAAGAAGAGTGCAGTATACCTCTGGCTGTCCCTTTGCCACCACACTGGGAGCATTGTGCTTTTGGAGCCTGCGTAGCGTTTCTGAGAACTCGGACTCTGTGGCGAGGGTAGGCACGACCGAGACGATCAGGTCGGAGGCCAAGTAGGCAACTCGGGCCGCTGGATAACGGGAGAAGAAGAGATTAGCAATGTGTTGTCATGCATTTGTTGGTCATTTCCATTGGGTGTCTTGATTTTGTTGTTTCTTGTTGCAAGGGGGAGGAGGGTGCACGATGGGATGCTGACATACCGGCCTCTCCTGCAGTTGTGATAGATGCCATTATGACTGCAGAGATGGAGATGGAGAAGAGAGCATGGGGCAAAGCAGCAGAACAGGAAGCACGACAACTATGGGGAAGAGCAAAGGTCTAATAGTAAGAGCGGTGCCTAGTAGTAGGTCACGATTCGGGTCGTCGGCCGTCAGTCCATGGCTCGCGGCAGGATAAAATGGTGCAATTTTCTCATGAACCGTAGTCGTCGAGGACAGAAGCAGCGCGCGGCGAAATTGCGTGATCGGGCGGCTAGTGTGAATTCAGGGTCCAAGGCAGCACAAGGCCCAGTAGCGACGAATGAGATTGTCATGCATGTTCGATCGCGCGTAATCACGTCTTCGCGGTCACATTCGGGGGGTGGGCCAGAGTGTAGGATTTCAGTCTACTCTAGGTATACTCTAGGATGGGTAGAGTAGAGGAGAGTAGTAACCTACTCTATGTCAAGTTGGGTGGTTAGGGTAGGGGATTGTCGTAGTAGAAAGAGTAGACAGTCAAGGGACTACGAGAAGAAGGCCCCTGGCTGTCCCCGCGCTGACACGGCAATGCTGACTAAGCGAGGTGTTAATGAGTGGACAGAGAGGGGTGCGGGTGTTCCTGTTGCGGTCTAAGCCGCATGGAGACACGCCGAGGTTGCCGATATCGATAAGACAAGCCAGGGCCCCCAACAACCTCCACCCGTTCGGTTTCACACGAGCAAGCACAATGCACCATGCCTTGAAGGTTGAAACATTGCCCTATACGGCCATTAGTCAACCGCTTCCTCGCCCCCCTTCCTCGCCCTCCAAACGCCCACCTGCATCTGCATCTGCATCTCATGTCGAGGCTAGTGCAGCCCTTGCAATGAACACGGATTCTGGATTTTCTGATCCTCTCGTCACGGATACCCCGTTACCGTTCCGCGACCTGTGCGCCAGGATACATGACCGCATAGCCGCATTTCTGGACGCGAGCGATGTCTCCGAGCGCGTCAAGAATGTGCAACAACAGACACTGGTCTCCTTGGAGGTGATAGATCAGGCCTTGGAGCAGTATAGGTGCGTCGTCGTCCAAGGCCACCCAGCCTGGACAGCGGACAGCCGGACCTCCCGAAGCTGACATGCACCTGTAGTCTGCCACAGCTCTCCTTGGCATACAACGGGGGGAAAGACTGTCTAGTACTCCTCATCCTCTACCTTTGCGCTTTACATAAACGCGGACTAACCAATACCCTCGATCCCTCGTCCAACATCGAGACCGCCGTACAATGCGTCTACATACAGGACGCCTACCCATTCCAGGAAGTCGAGGAGTTTGTCGCCAAAAGTATCAAGATATACTCTCTGGCCTTGCTTGAATACGCCAAGCCAATGAAAGAGGCTTTTGCAGATTATCTCAGAGATACGCCTTCTGTAAAAGCAATCCTCGTGGGCACACGTCGGACAGACCCACATGGTAAACACTTGAAGCATTTCGACCCAACCGACAACAACTGGCCGCAGTTCGTCCGAGTACATCCTGTCATAGACTGGCACTATGTAGATATATGGACAGTAAGCATATCCCCATCACCTGTTCGCTCTTGCCACTGACTTTGGCTTGAGTTTATTCGATACCTCAACATACCCTATTGTCCATTATACGACATGGGGTACACCTCTCTAGGCGGCATCACCGACACAAAACCAAACCCAGTGCTGGCACGCCAGCCATCAACGCAACATGTGCCTACGATTGGCAATGCAAATGACAACACCCATGGCACCCCCAAACCCAAGTTCAGACCAGCCTACGAGCTGGTAGATGACTTCGAAGAGCGCTTAGGAAGGGATAGATAGCCATCAGACAACCGTGCATATAATGCCTGATTTTTCACACAACATATTTTTTGTTCGAAAGGGACTGTGCTATCAGAGCAGAGAAGACTGGAATGCTGAAATGGCTGAGTCTTGATGAACTTTCAGAGTTCAAGCATGAATCTGTTCTACTGATATATGCTACGACGTTACATGTCGCCACAACGACCCGCATTGGTGGATCCATATTCGAAACTGGCCGCTTTCAACTCACCCAAACTATGGCCACCGGCGGCATCTCAGGCCTTTACGGCTTGCAATACTCTCTACCCTATGCAGAAACCTGTAGTAGTCGTGCGCCTCGACCGACGACTTGCACACCATCTTCCACTCCACTCGTCACCCATCCGGAAAATTCGGTTTGAGCAAACTCTCTCTGCGTTACCCCGTCCAATTTATTGACCTCGTGTTCTGAAGCTAGCGGGCCAGCCTCTGTATACTCGCGCTTTTCCTTCTCTAACCGTTTTAGTTCGCCACGAAGGTGCCCTAGACTGCATGTTGAACGTTTAATATCACTTCTTACTGGTCGTTGCTTTGAGATGCTGTTTACGAATGGAAGAGTAGCAGATCACGTGCGTTCCAGACCTGTCTGTACCAGAGTGCATACGAACATTGCAATGTACCATTGGGCTGGGATCCTATTCGGCAACCACTGTTAATTCTCCGCGGGAGGTACCTATGGTTTGGTTTCGCCGTTTCTTAGCCCAATACCTGTCGTATGATTGGCCAGAATATAGCGACCATGAGACGGGATCTCACGGTCCGTGAAACAATGTGGGGTAACAGGTAAACCACGAGTGGCTGGGGATACTATAACTACAATACTGAAAACTGCCCCTGTGTGTGTTCCTCGCTCACATCACCAAAACCTGGACTATAATAGAACTTTACTTCATCCCCTCTGTTACATTTGGTGATACAGTATTTCCTGATATCGTAGGTGGCTTTGCAATAACGTTCATGGTCGTAGAGGTTCCACCAATTCATCAACCTGTGGTGCTTGTTCGGTTGCTCGGAAGAAACGTCCCCTGGTTTGATCCTGTACCAGTCACGTCCGCATCTTCCCCTTTGGCTTTGAAATCCTGCTAACTTTGCAGATGTCCAACAAGTATAGTTTATTACTCGTTTCTTGGCAACATGACTTTCACCCATGGCAATGCAGGATGGCCGTTGACATGTCGCATTGCAGTCATCACTACGAGTAGTCAATAAAATTGCATCCCTTCAACTGCATTTCGACAGTTGCGTGATCCCGTGGACATAGGAATTCAATTCATGGTGCTGGCACTATACATGTACCCCGGACGGTTCCTGCGGATAGCAAGTCTGGGGTTGCCAAACTGATGATCTTCCTCCAACGAAAAGTTCTTCCGCACGACCTTCGTTTCAGCTGCGACAAAGCCAAGAGCCCACGATTCATCCTAAAGGCGGAAACAAGTCTAGAACAGGGATTGATAGACCGGCATGAGAGTCAAAACATCATGTCGATCTCTATTGCAGGGCCTTGCAGTGGGGTGCTCATCCAATTCCCACCTACGAAATGCGATTTTTTATATTGGTCTCGCGAAAGCGGAAGCTGACGTCGCGCAGACTAGAGTCATTAGACAAGATTCTACATGAGGTGAAAAAGTCTTAAACGCGAAGAAGGAAAAGAAGGAGAAGTACAAATAGAAGCAAATCCCTACCTAAATGTGAAAGTCAAAGCACACTGCTAGCTATCATCAGTCTCTACTACTAAATTCACCATGCAGCTTGTCACTTCACTCTTCCTGCTGGCGGCATCTGTCGTTCATGCATCCCCAACCCCAGTCTTGAAGGAGGAAGCAGCAAAGGTGCTTGCGAAGAGAGCATCAATCACAGATGCTGCCAGCGTCGGCTACGCAACGCTGAATGGAGGGTAAGCTTCGGATATGAGCTGCACGAATGTCTATCCAACTAACGTGTGACAGCACCAAGGGTGGCGCTGGTGGACCTACAACCACCGTCAGCACTCTGCCACAACTATCCGCGGCAGCCATTGCCGAGGGCCCTCTTAACATTGTTGTTCAAGGTGCCATTAACGGGGGCGCAAAGGTCCAAGTAGGATCGGACAAGACCATCATTGGCAAGAGTGGCAGTTGTACGTCCATTTTGAACTCTACCAATTGTTTACTCTCTTGCTAACGGAGTCCAGCCTTGACCGGCGTTGGTCTTACCATCAACGGCCAAAAGAACGTGATAGTGAGAAACATGAAGATCGCAAAGGTGCCAGCCGAATTTGGTGATGGCATCACCATCCAGCTTTCCACAAACGTATGGGTCGACCACTGCGACTTGTCCGGCGACGAGACTGTAGGCAAAGACACCTACGATGGACTCGTCGACCTGTCCCACGCAGCCGACTACGTGACCATCTCAAACACCTACCTCCACAACCACTGTACGTCCTCCTCCCCCTCTGAAGTATCACCCACATACCCCCTTCCCATCATCCCGCCCCAAACTCCACCCAAACTCACACCCCCTCCAGCCAAAGGCACCCTCGTCGGCCACTCGGACAAGAACTCCGCCGAAGACACCGGCCACCTCCGCGTGACCTACGCAAACAACCACTTCTTCAAGGTCGCCAGCCGCGGCCCCCTCCTCCGCTTCGGCACCGCCCACATCCTCAACAACTACTACAACGAGCAGGACACGGGCGTCAACACACGCATGGGCGCCCAGGCCCTCGTCGAGGGCTCCGTCTTCGAGAACTCTGGGAAGAAGATGGTGTACACCGAGTCGAGCGCGGAAGACGGGTACGTAATTATTTCATCTTTTACCCGGGGGGAAGATTCCCATGGACTGGGTTTACTTTTGCATGCTACCTGCACTGCTAACTTAACCCCCTTTTTTAGTTTCGCTGTTGTCGTGGACACCCTGTTTGGTGGACAGAGTGCAAATACCGCTCCCGCTGGTACCCTCACGAAGGACAAGATTCCCTACTCGTACACCCCCCTGCGCGCGGCCGATGTCAAGGCCGCTGTTACCAAGGAGGCTGGTCAGACGCTGGCCATTTAGATGGATGACAGGCAGTTTCAATCTTTAAAACAGCATCAGACGTGTTGTAGCCTCATGGCTTGGCCACGTGTATCTTCTGTGTATATATAGATACTTTGAACTTTGTACATAACCAACTCATGTTCTCTTTCTTTTTTTATGCGTCGTGATTTCGCGGTCAGTACTACATGAAGCTGTGTGTGTTTGTTTTCTGGATACTGGGCATCGGAATTTGGAGATACATGTGTAAGGAGACTTGTGAGTGTGTTGATGTCATGTCATATTCTCCCCACTGATCGGCCATGGTACTATGTCCTATTACAACTTACAGCGCACGTGCGGGATAGATTCGGGGAGAAGTGATGGATAGGATGGTATAGATTTGCGTACGGGATGATGTTTAGTATGTCGGGTTCGATGGCCTCGCAGTATCGGTATGCGGGATCCTTCTTTGGCACGTTACGGATGCTAGGTACGTGGTGGCGGGGATGAAGTTCAAGGGTCGGTTCCAGATGGGGAAGGTGAGGTGGTTCGCTGGGAGCGAGTGTGTGCTTGACTCTGAGTCCTTGGTAAGACGGAAGCGCGTCCCTTGCATCCAGCGTGGCGATTTTGTACGAGATACTGGGGGGTAGGTATTGGTTCCATGGCCGTGGTCAATTCTCCACTAGCTCGATAATCGTGTACGAATGGAAGGTCATTCGCCCAAGTTTCATAGCAAGGAGGGCAAGATTCCGATATCAAGTTTAAGAAATACGCCAAAAAAAAATTATCGAGAGGATTTTGGATTAAACATTTTGTGCGCTGTCGTGGGCGTGAGCCGGGGAAAGCGTAATCTAAGCAAACTATCTAAAATCTATAAAATAAAATGAAAGACGTGGTGGTACTACATGGGGGCCACATGTGTGCGGCTGGTTTGGGGGGGTATTCGCTAAATCGACATAGGTGAAGAGGAAGATGAGGAAAGGCAAGGAAAGGAGCGATGTAAAAACCATGGACACGCTTTTAAATCATCAACCATAGATCTATCCACCGACGGAAAAAACAAAGGAAAAGAAAAGGAGAGGAGAGGAAAGGAAAGGAAAGAAATCGACGGTTGTTGGAGAATACAGTGGTTTACTGCTGCACAACACCGCTGGACTTGGGTCTGAACTCTTCCAAGGAAGTACTGGTTCTCATGGAGACGGCGGTGGAAGCCAGGGCTTTGCGGTACGCGTTGGTCTGGGAGAATTGCGTTTCGTAGTGCTCCTTGAGTCTTCGCTGTCTCCGTTCGCGTTTGTGCATCCAGTATATGGCGCTGACGAGTGCCAATACGGTCAGGCCGAAGAGACCGCCAACGGTTCCACCAACAATTGCAATCTTCTGCCTCTCTTTCTTGCACGAGTCGCCAGTTGGTACCGCGGTAATTTCAAACGGTTTGCCGGTGGAAACGGCAGAAGCGGCGGCATGTGGTAGTTTGTTGGTGCTGGGGGTAGTGTCTGCGGTAGTGGTCTCGAGCAGGAGCGAGCCAACAGAGTCGGTGATTATCTCCGGTGCACTTGAGTTGCCGCAGCAGCTTCGTCGGTCCCCGGCAGCACGGCAGCAATATCTGCCATAGTCGCAAGTCTGGACCTGCCATGCTACAACAGGATTTGATCCGTTGAAGTCGGTAGTGGCTGTGCTTTGGTTAGTCTCAAATCATGTGGCAAGCAAATCGAGATGTGCGTACCATCAGGGCACATCTTGGGACAAGCTACGTCCTGTCCGGTTTTGTCCGTACACCCGCTCTGCCAAATCATTCCCAGCTGCTCGTTGTTGGTGGCCATGCATAGTCCGTTGTCCAGGCAGATGTCAGGTGATCCGTTTGTTCGTTTGGTCGCGCAGCAGCCGCTGTGCTTCGCATTTGGATTGCATGGTGCGTATGAGCTGTCGAGTGTGGATCCATCCAGACCATAACATTGCTGGGCGATTGTGGGAGCAATAAGGAATGTGAAGATTGTGAAGACGGACAGAAAGGAGAGTTGCGAAACCATTATATCAGATCAAGGACAGTAAGCAGTTGGACGCTAACAAGGAAGTCGACAACAACGAAAGACGTGATACGATGATCGATGACCGAAAGTATTTGAGATGAAGTGGTAATGGGGATATAGGGCTCGTTCCATTGGCAAACCATCCCACCCATATAAGGATGTCTGGCCGATAGGTAGCAGGTGTGGGACCTACACATCATTTGCCGCATCATGCAGCCAAAGCCCTTGTGCAACTCTCTTCAGCTGTCGAGGATTGCCGACAAGGTTGACCCCGCTGTGTACTGAAACAAGACAATCAAACCTGGTCACTGAGAGGAGCTCAGATGCTCGTAAGAGGAGGGTGAGGTGACACAGCTAATCAGCGTTTTGGCACAGACGTTCGGCCTCGACTCTGAATTATGTCTGATGTCGCACGGCCACGACGACTCTCCTCCACCATGGCGCGCGCCAAACCAGACCTCGAAAGGCAGCTCCAGGACAACCTACAACGTCTGTGGTGAGTCTTCGCATGCGCGCTTGTTGGCTTGTTGACGCGCGCACCCGTTTTTTTCGTGGCCCCGGCCCTTTGGAGAGTGTTCTTGGGACTTTTTTCGGCCGCAGGGGGGCAGAGAGGGGAATCGCCCAGACCCTGAAAGTAGAAAATGAGCGCAAAAGGGGGGGGGGGGGCGGGGGGGAGTGAAAGCGCCAAGTAGTGAGGAAGGTTTGAGGTCTGAGGGATACGAGGGCGAGCAGTGAATGTGATTGGGTCTACCGGTAGTCTTTTTGGTCAGGGCGCGCCTCTGGCCTGTGTTTCTTGTTTCTATGTTTACCACCAAACATCCTCGACATCTCCTCTTACGGTACCGGTACCGGTAGCCTCTCCAGCCAGCCAGGAGACTAGTCATCGCCCGCCAACAAAACTCCAAGATGTCCAAGCACCGCACGTGTCCTCTCCTCCGATGGTTCTTGAGCGAAAAAGAAAGTGTTTCCTTTTGATCTTCACCATGCGTCATCGCTTGCTGCCCAGCGAGACCTTTGTCGGGCTTCGTTGCCAGCAGGGTACCGGTACCAGGACTGCTGCTGTCCAGGGCGGACTTGATTCCAGGTTCGATTGCTTTTTGCTGCCCCTCTAGGTACATACCTAGTAGGAGACAGGCTGGTGCTGGGACGACCAGTCGAATCCCACGCTTCTTTTTTCCATCTGGCCGAGTCGCTTGGGGGGGAGGGGGGTGCCCTGCCCGGCTCTTGTCCGGTCAGCCTTACGAGGCTGAAGTTGCCAGGCTGATCCTAACGTTTCACCACGCATGGCCCCAGTCGCAGGCAGCCAGTTCATCGACAACATACACACGAGCCCTACCTCGCACCTACGTCACCCAAGGCACTGCTCCTAAAAGCCGCACTACAGCTGTCAGATTCAGAGTTCGACACGACCTACCGACTTGTTTGTCACCTGAATCCCAATTGTCCTTCCCTTCCCGGCACAACGAAGATCGTGAACACTACGGTAGTCTTGCCAAGGCCTTTGCCCATTTTCTTACTTGGCACCTCCTTGATAGGATCGGACAGAAGATCGGAAGCAAGCCCTCTCAGCGCTCCCGCACCGCGGTTGATTACTCCTACTGACCGCTCAGCCATGGACGTGCTGAATGCGTACTCTACCGACTTCCCCGTCTTTCCAAATGGCACTGCTATTTCAACATCGTACAATGGCAACATCTAACAATATGCTCGATACTCATGTGCGCCATACATTATTGTTTCCATCCATCCACTCAGCGACTACTCGCCAATAGCCCGAATATTTCTCCGTCTGGACAAACTTGACGGCTGATGAGGCAGACAGCATTCAATGATCAATAGTCAATACACCAGTCTCTCCGCAGGGCAGATAACTTTGAAACTCTCTGCAAAGTGCCGTGATTTCAACCATCAAGCTCCTCCAGCAGTCCCATGATCCTCACTATCTCGTTATCCGGCCCTCCCTCCGCAACCTTCCAATCGGTCAGACTCTCTTTCGCCTTCAATGCCCAAAGCTTCGCGTCCTCTAACATTCCATGACCAGCATACACATATGCTAGTCGTTCATAGTCACCTGCAAGCAAGATATCAAGCCCTTCTTGCTTACTCAGCTCCATGATCTCTTTCTCCCAGGCGACAACCTGTTGCGCATCAAACGTTTCTGGCGTCAAGTTTTCGAGTGCCTTTCGTAGCTGCGTGAACCGGGCACGCCGCTGATCGCTCTCCGCAATCTCATAAGACGATGCTGTACAGAGCGAACAGGTACACGTAAAGTTCCACCCTTGTTGGTAGAGCTTCTTGCGCTCGTTGGACTGGAGCTCGATCTTCCCGTATGATATGCTGATCTCTTCGCCAACGGCAATGTCCCGTACTGCTTTAACCTCCATCAACAATGTCCGTGGTATGAACCGTGCGTGAGCGTTGGGAATGCAGGCATGGTTGATTCTGGCTACAGAAGGGAAGAGACACATGTACGCATCGTCAATCCTCCCATCATTGATTTGGCAGGCAAATGCATTGGTCTTCATGACGTTCTCGATAGCTGTTCCTCCCAGGCTCATGTCTAACGACAGTACGGAGTCTTGGTCCGTGGCAGGCAGCTGGTCCAACCCCGTCTTGAAAAGCGACTGGCCTTGCGAATGTGTGACGAGAGCGGGGAACTGTGCGCTTGCGATGATCCTGGGTGAGTCGAGCAAGATTGTTTGTCCCTTTGCCATTGGCCGTGCAGTGATGAGGCCCTTTCCTTTTCCAGGCAAGGACTGGACATGGAGACCCTCTTCAGACACCTGCTCCACCTGTCTCGAGAAAGAGAAGGCTGTCGAAATTGCATCTGCGGCTCTGGAGTTCGCAATGACACTCAAGCCATGGCCGAGACGAAAGTTTGCTGTCGTGTGCGTGCAGTACTTTGAGCCGCCTTTTGCGGCCACACACCATGGCTCATGGGACCAGACTGGATGGTCGAAATACGAAGACTGCAGCTGTCTTCCCGGATCCGGTCTGACGTCTGTGATGTGGCACAACGGCGCTGGTTCGTGGTGCGATATAAAGTTTTGGTTTTGTTGTCTCGAGCATTGCGAGGTTGCACCGGTGCGGTCCAGCCAGGCGCCAGCACCTAGGATGGTGAGTAGGGGTCCTTTGGTCTTCATGAAGAGGATTGTTGACATTCAAGTCGTCGTCGTCGTCGTCGTCGTCTTCGTCTACTCCGCTCGAAGTCGAGGTGGTTTGCCAACCCCTCAACGCTGTAACGCACATGAAACAGTACTGGTACCTACCTACTGCTCGCTCCCAAGCAAACACAAACATGGCATGACCACATCCATTGCGCAAAAATCCACCTCATCCACCTCACGAACCATCACGAGGCTTGCCTACCCACCGTCAGTCCACATGTTGACAAAAAGGAAAGAAAGTAGGTTGGCAGATCATACCGAATCAGTGGATTTGCACAGGCATGTCCATGGCGCCACGCGCATGACGTAGCGTGCACGATCCTCCTGCGCCTCCAGCCACACAACTTCCCCATGCTTGTCCTCCTCGCGCCCCTCATGGCAAGTCGGGCCAGCCACCAGACGGCAGACGGCCCTTTGGAAAATAAACTCGACAATCTCCCCTGACTCAAGACTCATGTCCAGATCGATATGTCTGTGCATGGCTGACTGCCACGAGCATGTATACAGCCGACTACTTTGGGTTGTTTAGCCCAGCGTTGGCATGCTGGCTTGACCTAGGTAGTCTCCTTGGGTACGGGTACCTACTTGAATGATGGGCTGCCATGATGGTCTTTCACATGTGGAAGATTGTGTTCCGCAGGGTAATACTACCATGGCTTGAATGAATGCCTTTTCATTCTTCACAAGTACCCATCTACCTTGATCAAAAAAGCCCCCGAGGAAATAGTCAAAGACTCAAACTGGATTCCAGTAATTGCGGTCAGCGGAGAATGGAGGCCGGGACGCTGACACCCGGCGCGGGCCTACCTTGGCCTCAGGCACCGTTTCCATCTCTAGTCGCTGCGGTAACTTTATATGAAATTCAACTCTATCAATTTCCTCCCCATTGTTGTTCTTTCGGGCAAACTCCATGTACAAGTGAATAAACTTCCAAAATCTCCACAATAAAGCCTTTTTAGTACACATCCTTATTACGCACTCTGCATATGATCAATGCCGATCCTAATACCGTGAATCACATTCATCACTCCCTCCCAAGAACTTATGCTTATTAATGCTACGAGTATCCGCAACCCTCTTCCTCTACCATGTAGTCAGTCCCGCTGCAGAGTCGTTAACATCAAAACAATTAGACAACGAGGGAGATCAAGCAACATGACTTACATACATACCTATCCAACCAAAAACCCTCCATCCCATCTCCCACCCTCCTCGCACACCCACACGCACAATTGGAGAATTACCAATTTCCCTGGACCCCAACCCACACAGCCCCAGCCCCAGCCCCAGCCCCAAGACTCCATAACACCGCAGATCCCCTCGCACGCTGTACTGCACAGCATGTATCTATGTACCGAGGCACCTCATTACACACCCGACCGTCTCAGACAAACTGTTGTACAAGTATCACGTTACACAGGGCTGAGCCTTGCGTACCTATACCCACACACACAACACCCCATGACGAGTGAGGCTGCCCACGCCCAAGCCAGATCCAGATCCAGATCCAGATCCAGCCATCCGCCAAAACACAAACAAAACACCCCATTCCCCCCCACCAGCACACACCAGACACCCCACCTAAAAAAAACCCCCCATCCATAAACCCAATCGCGCAAGATATGATAGTCTACACGCCATACTGTACGATTGCGAAAGCGAGGGAAAAAGTAAATGTGTGGATGGAGCTGCATATGGACTACAACGGTACCCATGGCGCTCGGGGCAGTCCTATGTGTTTGTTTAGATTACCTACACGTGTAGACATGTATGTAGGCATGTGGATGTGGATGCGGATGCGGATGCGGATGTTAACATCCATGTGCCAATGTCCACGCCATCTCCCTCAGTCTCGCCTTCGCAATGGGTGGGGCGTGACTATGGGCAATGAGCAATGAGCAGTGAAGAGGGATGCCTATAGAGGCGCTGCTCAGATACGATATCTTGGTAGACTAGCTCGCACACACGCACACAAACAACGTACAATACACTCATCCACCAAAGCATCGTGTCGTGACATTGCGCACCGCAAGGATCCGCAGTCTTTTCGTATCCCGATCAAGGGGCTGGGGAGATCCCTGGTCAGCGCAAGGGAAAGTGGACAGGGGTGTTTGGGGACGTGTTGTGGATCGGGAGGGTCCGTGGTTGATTGCTTTTTGGGGGCGCGGTGGTGTGGGTGATGGTGTGTTGGGGGGGGTGAGAGGAGGTCATTTTGGAGGGTTGGGGGGGGAGGGGAGGGGGTGGTGGAATGGGCTCGGGATGTTGGGGGATGGTGAAGGCTGGGTTGGGTTGGGAGATGACGAGGGGGATGTTGAAGGTTGTGGTTGGGAGGAATTTTAGATTTGATGGTTGTGATGGATGGGAAGTAATGTGTCGACCGTATCAATTAACATTGAGTCTGCTCAGCTGACTGTATCCCATGGTGTGAGAAATTGCCTAAACACTATCTATGTAATCTCCAAATCCCCGAACCCCTTCCACGTCCCTTACCCATGACCACACTCAATCACTCGCCAACTTGCCCATCAACAGCGCATCCACCTTCTCCCCCTTCCTCAACACCCCTTCACCCTGCGGCATAACCAACAACGCATTCGCGCCCTTGAAACTCCCAATCTTCGAGCTCCTTTGGCCACCCGTCGAACTAGCATACATCAAGCCATCCTCTCTCGTCACAACAAGCGCACGATGATACTCTGGGCGGCCCTTGTCCATCCTCACATCCTCACCCAGCACCACCTTGACCCTCGGCAGTCCCACGGGCGTAATCCCCGCCTGCGCGTGCAGCGCCGGTAGCACAAAGAGATGGAAACACACGACTGCAGAAGCGGGATTCCCCGGCAACGAGAATATGACTTTATCGACACGGTTCCCGTGGTCGTCTTTGACGGGCACAGTGGCAAATGTGGTCGGTTTTCCGGGCTTCATGTTTACGCGGCCAAAGTGGATGGTGCCGCCGAGGGAGCGCTCGATGGTGGGTTTCAGGAGGTCGAGTTCGCCCATGGAGACACCGCCTGAGGTGATGATGACGTCGCATTTGCGGAGGGCGGTGCGGAGGGTCTCTTCGAGGTTGCCGGGCCTGGGTGGAGGCAGTTAGCTCTGGTTAGAGTGACGGTGTATCAGAGAAAGGGATGGATGGTGGGTAGATACGGGGAGATGCCGTACTTGTCCGAAGCGATTCCCAAATCAACAACTTCAAACCTGTGGCTTTGTGCTGCGGTGATGAGGGTGGGCCGATTGGTGTCGCGCACTTCTCCGAGTCGAAGGGGACCTTCGCGGTCGTGGGGGATGATTTCATCGCCAGTGCTGAGAACACCAATTACTGGGCGTCGATAGACTGCAACTTCTTTCGTCCCTACAGAAGCGAGGAGACCGAACTCGCCGCCAACCATGGTGATGCCTTCGCCCTTGCGAAGAATAGTCTCGCCAGATTGTACGTCACTGCCAACTTCTCGCACGTTCTCACCAATTTCGATACCGTCTGCGAGAATCTCAATGTCTTTCTCTTCCTGCCCGTCTTCGGTCATGCTCTTGAGCACTGTGTCTTCTACCATGACTACGGCATCGGCGCCAGGAGGAAGTGGTGCACCAGTCGTGATTCTCGCACACTCTCCTTCCTTTAGTTCTGCTGCTCCATCACTAGCCTGGGCATGCGAGATGCCTACCACGGGGTATACGCCCTTCTTGAACCCTGCTTCCTTGGGTACTCTGACTGCGTACCCATCTACGATACTAGCACGAAACGCTGGGACAGATTCTTTGGCCTTGACATCTTCCGCGATGACTGAGCCGGCAAGTTTTATGTCTACAGGTACACGCTCGACAATAGGATTTGGTATCTTCTCTGTAATGAGTTTGAGTGCATCATCTACGGGCAACATGGGATATGGCGAAGATCGGTATCTGCGGCTCGGCCCAGCGGATGGGTCGTTTGACTGTGGCCGTTCTTCTGGCTTGGTGTGCGCCTTGGGTCCAGAATGGCCACCGTGGCCGTGGGAGTGACCGCATCCGTGATGGTGATGACCACCTCCTGCACCTGTAGTAGCCTTCCCTTCTGAGGAGACGCCAGCTTCCTGTTCAAGTTTCTTCACCCCACCGACGTGCAAAGGTCTGGACTCTGCGCCAGCTGCTTGAATGCAAGCATGTGGTAGGAGTTTGAGGACAGCTTCTAGATTCTCCTTTGCACCCTTTGGTGATCCTGGAAGGGTGATGACTACGCTTTGCTTGCGCATACCAGCGACAGGCCGCGCCATGAGTGCGACTGTGAGGACTCCAGTAAGCATCTAATAGATATAATCGAGAGACATTCTTACATGGCGTCACCGCATAGGATGTTGTAAGCATGCCATGACTATATTTTGGTTATTACGTATCTAGATAATTTCTGGAGCATGACTTACATGAGGCCTGGAGCATGCCGATCAATCAGTGGCGACACTGCCTTGAAGCCGTTAATGTGATTTCGAGCTGGACATGACGACAAATCGTACCTCAGGAGTCACATCTTTCGTCGCGAATCCAGTTCCTCCACTCGTTACAACCAAGTTGGTTGGATTCTCCCCGTCTGTCCAGGTTCGGATTGCCCTTTGGATAGCGAGGACACTATCGGGTACGATCTCAGCCTGGCTAACATCCCATTGGCCATTTCCGAGAGTCTCAAAGACCTCCTTTAGTGTAGGAATGCATTTGTCTGTCGAGGGGTCTTTCGAGGCTGTCTCTGAGACGACTAGAATCGCTGCTTTCAACTTGGTATTTGCGACGCTCATGGCGATGAATGTGGTGATGCAGTGCAATGTGAATGGGTGGAGCCAATGTCCCGCACTTTAGCCATCCGGACGCTCGGGCCATCAGTCCATCGCCTTCCCGTCTCATAGTCATAGATATAAAAGTAGTAACATAAAATTGTTTATATATTGAAACCTGGTATTTGACGCCGATGAACCGCTCCTGTTACATGCATTATACAAGCGCTGTCCCCTTATGTACATTGTACATCTCTAAGTATGTGCGGGCCTGACAGCTCCCCTGTCCTGTCCTGCGGACTACGCGCATCGTGCCTCTTTTCACGAGACCCTCCAAACTGATTCAAAGCTAGTTGAAAAGTAATTCTCCTTGTTGTACTGTTCTGAGGCTGGATCAAAAACTGAAATTGCGATCATTCAAAGTCCTTGGCATTGCTCTGCATAAGCAGGCCGATGATCAGGCCGAACAGTCCGAGAATGGCAGCAAAAATTTCAATGGTCAGAATCTTGACAAACCTAGAAAATGGATGAGCAACTGAGTAAGTCCCATAGGAGAAGTCAGCTTACAGGTTGGGGTCTGCAGCATCAGCCAACGCAGCGCTACTTCCGTTGATACCAACACAGACACCGCAAATGAGATTGCACATGCCCACGGTCAGACCAGCCCAAAATAATGCGTATCCGGTGAAGTAGTTGTTTGCTGAGAAGAGAAGCTCCTGGTCGGTGACTTGGTTCATCTTGGAGGAGAAGATGATGGCCATGATGACGCCGTAGATGGCCACGACCTCGCAGAAAATGATGGAGATCAAGTTCTTGGTTCGTATCCGTGGCGCCTTGACACCTCCACCGAGGATTGAGACACCGGTTGTCCAGATTCCCCTATACGAGTCTCAGCATGGACTTTGTATGTAGCATGTACATGCACGCAACAACAACCTACCATGCGGATCCTACAACGGAGAGACCGATGCATAGCGCTATGCCCAAACTCGCGAATGTGTATGGTGAGACGCTTTCGAGGAAGGCTCCAACCTGGCGGCAGAGAATTAGCACAGGAATGGTGGGTTGTTCTTAGAGGGGTGTTGCGTACATTGAAAGCTTCGCCCTCGTTGTTGAAGAGCATGTCTATCCCTCATTAGCTGTGGTCCTGTCGCCCTGTCGCCCTGGGCCCTGATGAGGGAACTACATACACAAGCCAACCACACCGAGGGCGACTGTCGCGCCACCGGTGCCATACGTGAGGGACATGTTTGCTGTGGTGTTGAAGGGATGGACGGGGAGATGGAGGGAACAGTGGCGTCTGGGAGAAGCTCCTTCGTTGATGGGCGCTGGCTGCGAAGCTGGCGATGATGCACAACGGAACAAGCCGACCGGCGCGTCCAAGGGACTTTGCTGCTTGTAGCTTAGCGCGCCGAATGTCTGGCTTAGTCACAAGCAAACGGTCGTCCTCTCCATCGCTCTCCCCAGTCTAGGAACACCCCAGGCTTCCACCCCCCATCACCCAACTTTCCATCCTGCGCCGGCGCATTTGCTTGTTCGACACCATGACCGACAACACCAAATACTATGAGCTGTACCGCCGGAGCAGGTATATATGCGCTTCCAATCGCACCTTGTCTGCCGTATCGTACCCTGGCTGACGGCGTGTGCGCAGTTTGGGTGGTGCACTCACCGATACGCTGGACCAGCTCATCACCGAACGTCGCATAGAGCCCCAACTTGCCATGAAGATTCTCCTCAACTTCGACAAGGCCGTTGCCGACGTTCTCAGCGACAAGGTCAAGTCGCGCCTGACTTTCAAGGTGCGTAGAGCGTCACACGTCATGCGACCAAGCAGAGGACTAGCTAGCACAAGCGTGCTCACTCACTGGTTTGTAGGGACATCTCGATACCTACCGCTTCTGCGACGACGTCTGGACCTTCATTATCAAGGACATCAACTTCAAGTTGGATAATACCAACCAAGTGCATGCCGACCGCGTCAAGATTGTCAGCTGCAATGCAAAGCGTCCAGGCGAGACCTAGAGCCAAGCCTGTGGTTTTGCTAGCCTTTGCATCTATACTGAAGACATATTTCAGGGGCGAAATAAGAGACACAAGGAGCCGGTTGACAGCTGGCTAACGAAGCAAAAACGACGGAGATGGAGGATATTCCGCGCCTTGTTCTTTGGCGATATCAAGTCTGATTTCATGCAGGCCTAGGGACTCGAATGGATAAAGAGTTTATGAAAAAGATGTTTTCAGGCGTTCAGGGAACAATTTGGCCCTCATGGTCTTGCCTACATGATTTGGCGTTTGGGATGGCGCTACTCATCGCCAATGGTCTTGATACCCACAAAATTGATAGTTGCACAACCCACACATTTTCTTTCCTCGTGGACTGGCCAAGGCAATGCACTTGTGAATGGGCCAAAGCCATGTCTAAATAGTCAGCTAGAGTATGTGGCGAGGGGCCTGACGTACTAGGTACCCCATATTGGACTAAGCTCGGATGAGATCGCCCGTACCTGCAGATCACATTCGCCAGGCACCATCGCAACTTACCTCAGGTTACAAACATCAAAGAAACCTCTATATTGAAGTCAGCAATGCCAGCTCCGGCTACAAATTCTGCATGGGTGATGCTGGCCATTGCAAGTGGCGCCTGTGCAGCCTTCAACGGCGTCTTCGCGAAGCTGCAAGTTGTATCGTGAGCCCTCGTCGACTACCCGCCTGACCAGAACGCAGTACAACTACGGAGCTTACCACGACCTGGTCAAGCTCTATAGCCCAAGTATTCGGTCTCAGTGCATCGAACAAAATCGTTGAATATGCCATTCGGGGCGTACGTCTTCCTCAATTCCCTCTTGCTCACCATATTCGAATCTAACAAAACCACAGCTCTTCTTCGGCTGCAACTTGCTCTTCAACGCAATCATGTGGGGCCTTTTCACGCGGGCCCTCACGCTTTCCTCCTCCACCGTACGCGTCAGCATTATAAACACGTCTGCAAACTTCATCATCACCGCCGTTCTCAGCTCCATCGTCTTCAACGAATCCCTCCCAGGACAGTGGTGGCTTGGCGCAGCGATGCTCGTCACAGGCAGCGTCATCATAGGCATGAGGGAAGAGACGGAGAAGAAGCCTGTGCTGTCTACGAATGGGGCTATCAAAAACGATGAGAAGGAGGAGGTAGACGACAGTGTGGAATTGCGTAGCATGAAAACCACAGATACGAGCGTGAGACTGCGTAATGTGAGAGATACAGACGGAGGAATTGGCGATAAGGACCCTGTGTTGAAATAAGCGGCAGATCACAATGGCATATACGCCTCGACTCTAGTTCATATCCCGACTCGCCTTCCAGATGCGCATACCAATGGCAAACACCGAGACTGAAAAGCCTAACAATAGCCTAGCACATTCACTGCTCTTCTAGCACGAGAACACCCATGACTTCCCAACTCTCGTACTTGCATGCATCCTCACTATATGCTATACCCACGCAGCAGCACAGCATCCGCCACAAAAAAGCGACGCAGGAAAATATGCGCCAACAGTAAGATGACCACAAGTGCCAACAGCAAGCCCAAGATGGAAACGCCTGTTCCGGGCCTTGACGCAGGCGCCCGAGTCTTGCTTAAGGGCCGAGGAAACACATACATAAACAATCTGATGGGGAACGTGTCCTCTTACTGGCCCAATCAATGGAACCCCCCAGACGATCTCCTGTCACTGTATACTCCAGACGCCCATTCGCCCTACCCCAAGGAACGAAAAATTAGACAGAAAATGTACCCTCCAACTGACTCAACACTTGGGACCCTACGAAGCCCGTCCCACCACTCCGCCCCCCTTCGCCAATAGTTTTCACCCCACCTCATGGTCACAACACAACACCCACATCACCCAAACTATCCTTTTTCACCTCTTAGCCTCCACGCCTACTATGCGAAAACCTAGCGTTATACCGCACCCCTGAAAACCCAGCCCCATACTTCTCCGCCCACCGGCGAAGACGCTAATATGAACCCCAGCTGGCCAACCCATGCACACTCTCCAACCCCTCCGCAGCACACCTCTCCAAAGGGTAAGATCAATGGTAATGATGGCTAAATCTCCACCGTACATGGAATGTGCATGTGAGCAAGAAGGGGCGTATGCTGCCTTGGATGAGCTGGGCGTTGTGAAGGAGGGGGGGGAAGATTGGCTAGGAATGCGAGAACGAAGAAAAATGTTAGCTGTGTAGAAGGGTGTTTAACAATGGGAGAGAAAAGGATGTAGTGCGGTTGGAGGGGTGGAATAATAGTTGGAGAAGGAATGAAGGACTGATAGTTGTAGCACTGAAGGTGGGGAAGGAGAAGAAAAACCTGTATTTTTAGAATTAATGGTGTGGAAAGGATGAACGTCCTAGTGGAGTTCAAATATAGAGACGTAAGCTCTTACAAGGAGACTTTGAAATCGCAGTTGTGAACAAGTATATATGTCTATTCTTCCTACTGAGCGCAGCAGTGTGTGAGCTTTTATCTACACCACCACCATAGCAAACCACTACGGCCACATGACAATTCCCCATGACAAGACTACCCCCCTCCCACCAAATCCACCACACCAATCCACATGCCCCCATCATCAAACCTCCACACCCCTAATGCAACCGCCTCAAACCCTCCACCAACCCCCTAACCGCCTCAACATCGAGCTCTGCCTCCCCGAGCCTCAACCCCTGCACGGCTTTCGCCTGCGCCTCAGCCCCCAAGTCCAAAAACCGCTCCACCAGCTCACCATCGACAAACCGCTTGGGCTCTTCCTCATCCTGGCGGACTTGATTGCGGAAAGCGCGGAATTTGGCAAAGTCCATGTTGCCCGGTGCGGGGACGAGGGCGGCGAGATTGGATTGCAGGGTCATGAGGAGGTGGAGGTGGGAGGGGGCGATGAGGCCGAAGAGGTAGATGCTGCCTTCAACCTGTGTGTGTTGGTGGTTAGTTGGGGGGTTATTTGGATATGATGAGGGGAGAGAGGATAGAAGGGGGGAGATGCGTACCGTGCCAACAAAGGCCCTAGGAATCACCACCGCATCCGGGGCAGTCTGAACATCGATTCTTCGAATCCTATTCACCATTTCGCCGAGCAGCATCTCAGAGCTAATAAGCATGTGTCTTTTGTCGTCGTCGGTTACGCCTTCGACGTTGCGGCTCAAGACCATGAGGTTGCCCTCTGCGTCACTTTCCAGAAACGTCTCTGTATCTATTTCTGCAACGGCCGTTGCCCACGTAACCTGGTAGTGACGCGCGAGCTCGACGAGTTTGTCCGGTAGTCCTCCTTCGCCCTTTTGATACTTCACCATCGCGAGGGACTTCATGAGATCTGCGATTGTGATGACGGGCCCGTTGACGGTGATGTCGATTGGCGCGGTTGAACATCGAAAGGTGGCGGCTTTGACGAGAGTGGGTTTACTTTGCGTTTTGAATTCAACGTCGTAGAGGACAATTGTTTTGATCAGCGCGGCGACTATCTTGCCCTCGCACATGGCTAGACATCGACAGCCGCCTTTGACTGCGAGCTCCGTGACGAGCTTGAGCACGCGTTCAGGCGTGACTTCAAGGATGAGTATACGGCCGCGTTCAGCCGTTGCGTTTTGGTCGTCCAGATAGGCCGTGCCAACGACGAATCGTTCGGCGAGCCCGCCCGAGCCGTCGGCAAGCTCGCAGCGCATAACACACTCAACAAGTTCTTCTTCGTTGAGGGCGTAGGTGTCGAGTTCCTTGAACTGGATCTCGTCGACGAGCTTGAAATGGCTGAGCATGATTTCTTCGCCATTCTTGAGAATGCGTTTGATGGTTCCGAGGCCGAAAGCTTTGAGACTGGGTGAGTATGCAATGCGGCGAACTGTTTCGTCAACTTTGAGGGTTTGGACATGGGTCGTGCGTTCTGTGTCTACGAGGGCGATGCGGAGGTCTTCCGAGGTGGCGATAGCAACGGAGCCGGGATAGGCTTCTGAGTCAAAAGGACAAACTGCCGTGGCTTTCTCTGCTGTGACAGCGGAGTAGACAAGGCGACCTTCTGAGGCGTAGATCAGTGAGGGGTGTTCGCAGGTTGCGAAGACATTGTAGATTCCGTCGCCGCGAGGTAAAGCACGGAAAGTAGCTTCACGTGTACCAAGGACGATACTCTTCTTCCCTAACAGTTCGTATGACGATGGATCAAATGTGTACGTGATAACGTTGCCGTCTGCCATAGCGGCAAACAGTGTTGGGGGCTGGTCTGGGAATACCTGAGTAAGTAGTAATGAACGAGGGACTGACTCATCAGATATCGTGACAGTCTTGATAGTCTCCAGCGTATCAAGCGAACAAATCGCGAGTTGCGAGTTCATCCAGAATCCAAGGAAGCATACTGAGCTCGAGTCGGAGGGTAACGCAACGCAAGCTACTTGGCTTTCTGTACCAAATGTCTTTTGCTGCGCAACTTGCAGGCCGTCAGTCATGTTGAGAGATACAACAGTCACTCCGCCCAACGAAATCAGGACGTGCGTGTCGTTGGCTGATGCCGCTGTGATAGTCTGATCGCCCATGGGCATCCATTCGGATACAATCATGCCACCATCTAGATCACAGATCCGTGCGCGACCACTGGTAACCTGGACTACGCGACCTTGTGAGATGTTGGCTGCAACCAGAGTGGTCTCCTCTAAAGCCAGCGATGCAAATTCTTCAACCTCCTCTACCTCGCCTTGAGGATCGAATTTAAAGACGCGGGATTCGTTTACAAAAGTTACTAGAAGGGTGTCTGCGTATTGGGCGGTTGCGTCGGACTTGAGACTAAAGAGATTTGAAATATGTTCCATCTCGCCCAGTACACCAAGATCTTCTAGCCCCACGCCACTTCTGACACTACGTAGACTGCCATCTTGATATGCGCCGCTTCCAGTGACTATGCGTGCCTGGCCAGAGGAGTATTCGTTCGTCTGCCCTTCTCCGGATCTGTTGCCCATATCCATGATGGTGAAGTCAAGGATTGGCGCGATGTTGGAAAATGTCTGGACAATCTCCATGGACCGTTCTGCAATCTTGATCACTTGGGAGTCGCCTTGATGTGAGCCGACGAAGACGTATCCGGCATCGAGGTATACCAAGACAGAGGCCCTGGAGGTTTTTCCAATAATGTCTAGCTTCCATGACCGCACCTTGTGTCTTGCATCGAGAATGAGCATAAACATGTACAATCTACCATAATCGTCGGCTAGTACGAATCGCTGGGCGTCGATGCGTTCCCAAGCTACGAAGATTGTAGCCTCTTCCAATGGTTCCGTCTGTAGCTCCCCAGACTCGTCGTCATAGTATCCAATTGATGTCTCGGCTATGACTATTAGGCCATGTGTGGGCTCCTCAAGGGGTATCAAGTGGCTGGACCCAAGCTCAAGCTCTGCTCTGCAAGTCTCGCCCTCTTCTAATTCCACAGCATCACCACCAGCAAACGTGAGCTCCCGGAGCTTTAATTTGACCTGAGAGTGGGAATCTTCGTATAGGAGAGCAATCTTGGGCTTGTCATCAAAGGAGCGTGGCCGCAGAAATGCAGACGAGCGAACAAACATCTCTGACAACCTGACAGGCTGGGGCTCTCCGAGATGAGCTATGTCTGGTTCCTGCTTCCTCTTTTTCCCTCTTTGCACGAGTGGTATGACTGTCATGATTCCCTCATACACCTCGACGGTCATGAAGCGACCGGTAGGATCAACATGACATCGTTCGCCTGTTTGCGACTCACGGGCGGCATTGTCAGCGACACTAGCGAATGACTTCTCCGTCTGTAGTTGCTTCTTGTCAGAATCCCACGAGAGGGTGAAGTACATGAAGCGATCGGTCCCCACGAAGAGATGGTCAGTGGGAGACAGGGCAGGCCGGAGCTTCTGGAGCATGGTGACCTTGCCATAGATGGCATTCGAGTGCTGGAGGGTGAGTCCATCGACGGACTGCGTGTAGAACTCGAGTCGATTCGACTTTCTATTACAACAATGTCAGTATGTGCATCCTCTATACATGGCAATATTTACCTACGCCACTACCAAACAATCCTCGTCTGCGGAGAGGAAGTTGAGCTTGAGAGCATGCCGCACGCTGCTCGGGCGGTGGATTGGGGCGATGTAAGCCATGGTAAGTCTGTGGCAGTTCTTGGCCTTTTACATGTGTCTGTCTGTCAGTCTGATCTGATCTAAGTTGATTGTGGTTTTGATTATGGATTGCCCAAGGCAGCACGCAAGAGGGTTGAGTTCTTGTGAATATACTGAGCTAGGTATGTATGTACCTGAACATGGACTGGGATCTTCCGTCATTAACGTCACCTTATCCCCGTCCTGCGCACGGACAGCCGCGGCGCGCCAAAGTCGCGTTTGCAGTCTGATGGGCTGCGGGACGTGTGCGGACGTGGTGGGGCAGCTTCTTCTTGCTTAGTACTGGGACTTGTAATTTTTGGACCTGAGCTCCAATGATAGTAACAACACTGCCAACTAAGTAGCGAACACATAGGATGGCTCGTAAGACCTGCTCTTTGCTCTCTGCATGTCGATTGATCTTGTTTGCTAACAATCTATAGCTAGTCCAGCAGTAAAGGGCATGGACGACGACGACGATCCCGTAGTGGCCGAATACGATGTCTACATCACCCCCGAGACAGAGGCACAACAGCTCTATGTTCTGCAGTACCTGAACCGCCCGCCTGACCAGCCCTTCACCAAGGCCACAGAGAGCAAGCCTTCGGAACTGCGCTTGAAAAAGGAATCTGGCTTCATCGAGGTCGATGTCCCCATCAACATCCACACCAACTACAATCGTGTCGCTGGTGTTCGCTGGGGGGAGGCCATGCGCAAGACCAAGGGTTTTGGCCAGAAGGCTTTTGGTATCGCATCTGGATTCGAGCGCACTATGCCACGGGCCAGTAATCGACCTGGCATTGACGGTGCACCGCCACCACCCGTCACAGTGGATGATGATAATCTCGAGGAATATGTGAACAACTTTGAGGATGCCAACGAAAAGGGCCATGTGCTCAATTCACAGACGTTTGGCGGACAGATTACGAAGGACAACAGCAAGGGACCTAGTTACATGCTAGGAACCTTTCGTGACGGTGGGTACCCTGCTCTAGCCATGCTCTGACCGCTGGACTGATTCATGGCAGATCAATTGCACTTGACACGCCTCAATGGGCTTGTCCAGCTTCGAACCCAATTCCACCATATCGATGCTGAGGCCCAGCTCGAAGCCTTAGCCCGGCGACGAGAGAAGGAGTCACAAGAAGGTGCAAAACCAGTCGAGCCCAAAGCGTTTCTACCTACTGTGAAGAAGACTGGTGGAGACACCGCTGCAGAGATGACACAGGCGTTCATGAAACAAACGAACCAAGAAGAGTGGCTGAAGATGAACTACCATGACGAAGACGTAGGTCATCACCGAACCCGTTCATGGGATAACACTAACAGACATACATAGAGCGAAGTCGCTTTTGATTTGTATGGCGAGCGGCTTTTCCTTGCCGACCCCGCCGCAGCGCCAGCACTGTGTTCTCGTTTGAACAATGAAGAGTTCTTGGACATCATCAGTACCCCGTCAAGCAGCAAGGGAATGAGGAACCAGATGGCAAACAAGCGGGGTCATGTCGATTTAGTCGATATCTCAGATGAGTCAGACGAGGAAGAAGGCTAAGGGCCACAAGTGAGTTAAGCTGTGGATTTGCAGATTACGTGGAAAGGAAACTTGCGAGCCACGGTTCACTGATCATTTTGATATATTAACCGAGATACCCAACAATACTATGATGTTACGACACATATCCATGTCTTCTGAGGGTGGAAGCCGAACCTGACAGTAAAGAAATTGCGTAATCTGGAGCAGCTCGACTAATAATTGCAACAGAAAGCAGAGCATGACACCTCGCTATCTGACCCACAAGTCAATCACCACGACGTTGTCCTCGGAAGATGAGGTTTCGCCAGGTGACACATTCTCGGCCAGGAGAAGTTTTGAGGTCTTGCAGCTAATCATATCAGCTGACATCTAATCTCAAGCATGGGGATTTCATCACATAACGTCCTGGTTCTCCACGCTGTAGGATGTTGAGACGATGTGGGATCGATTGGCTTGCTGCGACTTGGATAGCATGAGAAGTACCTACGTTGTGGATGAAAAATGGTTTGTTCAGGTCGATATCAGTTCACTTCCAAGTTCTATCTGTCCGTTGGTGCAGTCGAAGATGTATAGAGTATCTGAAGCATTGGGCTGAGCACTGTTTGACTAGGACAGTAACGATGATAATGATGAGAAGCCAGTGCGCGTCATGTTTAAGTTTGTGAATCTTTGGGGGAACTTGTGCATGTCCAAATCGGGCCTAGCAGCTCCGGCCGGATCTACTTTTCTCACCAGCCAAAGTTTTTCTTTCCACAGCTCTCAGTTCCTTCCAACGCACTTGCATCCCTCAACTCCTCCTCACGAATCATTAGAGTTTGGTGTCGTGACGCCGACTCCGTTGTGCGGCATGCTTTCACAGCTCCCTGCAGTATGTTCCTTGGCTGCTGGAGGTGATGAGATGAAGACAGATGCCTTGGACCGCGACCTCGGCTGAGCAAGCGAAGCTTGAGTGCGGAGACCGCGTTCAACCGTCTCTGGCAGCACAACTCGAACCTCCATGTCACTCCTCGACATACCATCCGCACACATCACAAAATGCGGTCAATCTCAACTTTTGCTCGCCCGACGAGATCTCTTTCCGTTACAGCACAGAGGAGTTTGCGGCGATGCTTCTCAAGCTCTCATAATTTGCAAGCTACCTGGGGCTTCATTGGCTTGGGACGCATGGGTAGGTCATGTGTTCTTGCCTTGTTTGCGCATATACTAAGACATCATAGGCTATCCCATGGCAATGAACCTCCGAGCAAAGATTCCCGCCGAAGACACCCTCTGGGTGCACGATGTCAATACTGCTGCCACTGGGGAGTTCCTCAGGGCAAATCCGAAGGGCGTCCGAGTTGCTGACAACGTCCGACAACTTGCCGAGAACGCTGTATGTATACTATTTTACGTCTTCACTGCTCTTACGTGATGAATTAATTGTTCTATCCATGATCTAAGTTGGGGGTCGCTTGCGACTTCTTTTCTGATTACTCCAAAATTACAGCCAATCCTCTGATGCATATCCTCTACACACTTTTTCAGCAACATTCATTGTGTACGGAACACTGATCTGCTGCAGGAAACAATCATCACATCTCTGCCTGCGCCAGAGCATGTGAAGGGCGTATTCAAGGAGATGCTCGAGCCTGCCACTCTTTTGAAAAGCTCTGTGACGAAAGAAAGGCTCTTCATCGACTGCTCTACCATTGATCCTCTGACTTCTGGTGAAGTGGCCAAGGCTGCTTCATCCTCTGGTCAAGGCAAGTTCATTGACGCTCCGATGTCTGGCGGTGTTGTTGGGGCTTCGGCTGGCACGCTTACCTTTATGATTGGTGCCGCGCCCGAGGATGTGCAACGGGCCACCGATGTCCTGTTGCTGATGGGACGGAGAGTTGTGCACCTCGGTGAGCAAGGAGCTGGATTGAAAGGCAAGCTTGCAAACAACTACCTACTGGCTCTCAACAATATTGCGACCGCAGAGGCAATGAGCATGGGTGTAAAGTGGGGACTGGATCCCAAGGCACTGGCTGGAATGATCAACACCGCCACCGGCAAGTGCTGGCCAAGTGAGGTCAACAATCCCGTACCAGGTGTGATAGAAGGTTCGCCAGCAAGTAGAGGCTACGAAGGTGGTTTTGGGGTTGCCCTCGCAAACAAAGACTTGAAACTAGCGCTCAAAGCTGCCGCCGACGCTGACGTGAAACTTGCGCTTGGTGAGCCGGCAAGAGCGCTCTACGACGCTGTGGAGAAGGCGGAGAATTGCAAAGGCAAGGACTTTTCCGTTGTTTACAGATATCTGGGAGGTAAAGAATAGACATGAATTGCATTTCTACTGTAAAAGTCTTTACTGGGCTTCGTATGGTTGTCAATGCTGTGATGATGTTGTAAGAGCTAGTGGCTGTGTACTTATTTCTTCCTGCTCAAGTCTTTCTGGCCTGAGTCCCTGTGTGTGCCAATGCTGCATGTAAGAAGAAAACAAATCGGCGACGTATGTGTGGTGTGTCCGTGTCAAATGCGGTGAAATCGGTCTTACCTTAAATATTTATTGTTTCAAAGACCGCAAACGTGCCATTTACTTGGCAGGCACACGATCCACACCAGAAAAAGGAAATATTTCTATTCTTAAATTCTCGGCCTCCTGAGACGAAGAATTTAACATGAGGACGAGGCAATAGTGTGGGATTAGGTGGTAGGCATGTGGCTGTATCGATGGTGTGGATGTTTTGTAGTATGTGTATTTGGTCAGGGGTGGGAGTGGAGGGAGTGGAGGTGTGTGAGTATCGTCAATAAGGTAGGCAAGCATGTTCAGGACACTTGTCATGCTTGCCATGAAAAATAAATCATGGACGAGTAAATATATGAATGTATACACTTAATCCAACAACTCACACCCTCGCACAATTATACCCACAAAACGTCGGTCCATATACATCTGTCTTTTCCTAATTCACAATCTAAAAGAATATCGCTCGTCCAACTACTGGGCCTATGATATGCAGTGTCAGTGCGTAACTTCCCTTACTGATGTACGAATCCTAGTCTGGCAACTCTTCACAGTACCAGGTTCGATTTGGTGGATTTTCTGCCGCGTGGGGACTTTTTGTCTTGATGCTGTGGAAATGCGGCGTCGGTTGGTCTGGTGGTGAGGAGAAATTGGATGGGTAGGAGGTATTATAGTTGCGGGCTTGTGGACGGAAATGGGGGCGGTTGGAGAGGCTTGGGGATTGTTGTTTGTGACGGGACTGTTGTTTTTTACGGGTGTGTTGGGACTTTGGATAGTGTTGTTGGGGTGGGTTTAGGGGGAGTGGTAGGGTGTGGGTGAATTGTCATGTGGTGTATGTTTTGGATGGGGGTTTTGTATTTTTTCTCATCCATTGGAGGATGGTCCAAAGTGCAAAAGGTTGGTTTCATGAAGTGTGGTTTTACTCATAGGTGTCGGACTGGCTCATTGGCATCTTAGTCGTTTGTGTAGAGGACCTTGGAAATAATATAATGCATGTTTGGAAAATATCACTTGCCAACGAGCAGGATTGACGAGAATAGAAAGATAGGACCAGGATATTTACATTTTTTCAGTCCATTCTAACCAAGTTATGTACAAAGAATGTGGCTGTATGTATATACATGTGTATGTAACTCTGCCACTCACTCAAAGATGTATGTACAAGAAGAAAGGAGAAAGAAAAAAAAAAGGGTGAAAAGAGAAGGGGGCAAAGAAGGGTGAAAAGAAAGTAGGAAAGGAAGAATGAAGAAGGGAGAAGGGAGAACTATGCCCCCTCTCTCCCCCAAGAAGAAAACAATGCATGGCATGACCAGCCATCTCTCCCTTTCCTTCTCTTGCTCTTTTTCTTCTACGAGCCAAAAGATCCTGGGAATCTTTAAACCTTGCCAACACCAGCGCCGTTCCTAATCGCCGCAGCATCGGCCTTGCCTACAGCGGCAATCGACTTGCCCTTGAAGTTTACTAGGAATGACGAATCTGCAGCCGTGATAGCAGGAGAGTTCACGAAAGAGTTGGCGACGCAGGCACGGCCGACACTGGCGCGGCACGTGGCCAGATCATTACCAGAAGGCGAGAACATTTGGCCCTTGTTGGCGTGCAGGGTGGTCTTGACGTTTCCGAAGACGTTGCCCTCGAGTAGAACCTTGGAGCCTTGGTCGTTGTCGAAGGCGTGGCCGGTGTTGTCAGCCCAGTAGTTGTTGACGGCGTGGAGGAGGGTGTTGCCACCGAGCTTCGGGCTGCGGCCGGAGGTCTAAGGGGGTGGTGGTTAGTTGGCTTGGGTTGATAAGTTGAGGTTCAAGGAATTATTGTTCTTACGTCGTGGATGTAGTTGCCCTTCATCGTAATCAAGTCGTTGGAACCAATAGCGTAGATTCCCCAGTAATGGTGCGAATCACACGATGCAGACCAGCTGGTCTTGCCATCGAATCTGCGGTGTTGTTAGTGGTGGGGGTGTTGATGGCGGAGGGTTGTGGGAGAATTGATAAAAGAATTGGCAGATCAACTTCCACATCAACATCAATGTAAGAAGTGATAATCAACTTTCATACCAATTCAAAGCGGTAATAGGCTTCCGAATAAATGTAAAGAAAGGCACTCACTCGTTGTTGGAGAGGGTAACACGGTTGGAAGCCTGGGGACCGGCGACAAACATCTGGCGACCGACGAGGGAGACCTTGCAGTGGTCGACCCAGACCAGATCGGTCCCAGCAAGGGTAATAGCATCACCACCCCAGATGTACTGAGGGTTAAGATCAGTGATGTGGATGTTCTGAAGGATAATGTTCTTCGCGCCATTGGCGATGCGGAGACCTTTTCCACGAAGAACTCCCTTGTTGCCAACGCCAATGACTGACTTGTTGGAGCCCATGTTGATACCCGCAACACCAGCTTTGTCATAGGTGACTGTTAATCCGGTTGAGCCACTTCCAGCATTGCCGTTGGTGCACCAGCTGGCCTTGTTGATGGCATCCTGGCCGCCCTTGCCGGCACACTTGTTGGAGGCCGGTCTGCACCCCTGCTCCTTGACAGTGCCCTCTGTTCCCTTGAAGTTGTACTCCTTGTCGAGTACAATGCAACGAGCAGTGGCATCCTCGAGCCAGGTCTTCAGTTGGGCGACATTGGCAGGAACCTGGCACGGCGCGTTGCCACCACCTGTGGTGCCAGCTCCGAAGCCCTCTGGCTTGCCAACAACTCCGCGAGTCTGTCGCTCAGTTACAACCGCACCGTCGGCTAGTAGCACGCTGCTGAGAGCGAGGAGAGCGAGCTTCATGATGAATGAATCGAATGGACACACAGTGTAAGTTGTAGAAGAATGAGTAAGAGGAAGAAGAGAAGATGTGAAGAAGATGTGATGAGTGTGATGTTTCCATTTCTGGGAGATTTGTGCTCCCTATAAGTACTTGTTTTGAAGGGCGATATGCCTTGATTGTTTCAATGTTTCGCCAAGTGGGATCCCTTTTGCCGTCCAGAGTACTGACTGAGGTGGTCTGGGGTGTTGACAAGAGCTGAAACCGCTAATTCATCGGACGAGATTCCCGTTTGGGGCTCCGCTGGAGTCCTTGTCGAAGCCACTGCGAAATTACGGAAAGCTTTGCCAAAGCTTCATACAACATGGTCGCGCTGTATCAGTGAATTCTTCACATTGTCGAGATGTATCCAGCTTGTGCAGGTAGGTGTGCCGCGTGAGGTTGCTATAGTGGATATGAAGATATAAATCTTGCATTGTCGTAGACCAGAGTTACTCTCACAGCTTGATTTCCTTACCTAAGGTATGTTCTAACTTGAATGTGTAAATCTCCTCTAGCCGCAGCTACCAAGGTATGTCATGAGCTTACAATCTTCGGTGAATTTCGCATCTGCCCAGAAGACGGAAAATTTGGTTCCAATGTGGAGCAGATGCCGGTACATTGACTCCCGCGTCGTAATACGGGTATCGGATCTGACTCGTCTGCAGAACCTCCTCCCGCCCTGTTTCTCCTTCAGCAATCAGCCAAGCGAGTTGGTGAGGCTTAGGCGAGTTAAGCACCTTCTTGGTCGTGAATACATGTCCAATTGCTCTTGATCTTGTTTCCAGAAAAAAAAATCCGGTTGCCAATTCTGTCAACTATGCAACATTTCAGGGTTCGATGGTTGGATATCCGCGTCTATGGTAATGTCCTCGTATCGCACGTCGCGGTTCGCGGTTGCGCCACCCCAGAGTAAGCAGCCGCGCAAAGTGGGGACAAAGCTCGAAGAACGGCCGAGATTGCACGTCCGGTCCATTGCAGAGTTTCTACGTGATGGCTAAACGAGCGGAGGATGCAGGTTAGGAGGGACGTTTTTCAGTCGCAGAGTCAGATTGGCTCTTCTTTCGACAAAATCCGGTACAATGCGGATGGTTCGATGTAATGGGTTTCTCCCAAAGGTTCCGTGGAGTTTAAACTTCAAACTACCGACCGGCACAGGAGCTTTTCATGACGGGTTGCATCCTTGCTAGCGTCCATGTCAAAGCCAGCGACTGGGACTTTGAAAATCAAAGAGACGGTTATGCCAGCATTGGCACGCACGGTCGAAATCGGTATTAACACAGGAAATAGCAAGCATGCCCCCCGGTGTACAAAGGTACTGGTTGAGCAGCAGTCCGGATAGGATTCACGGGAATGCCTACAAGGAGTCATTGCAGCCAACCATGAATTTTCCACCAGATGCACTAGAAGGATTGTAGGTTATCATCATTGCGTATAGCTGCTAACGCATGGGGGGGTATAGTCTCTGTATCTGGCGGACCTCATAGTTGCTGGTCATGTGTGCCAATACCTCGTGAGTCGTGGTTCATCTAAAGAGATGACTAGGGACAGTTCCGGCTCATTGCTGGTGTCGTGAGTAAACTCTTGGCCCTGTGTCGTGGCATCTTCCAATTTATTCTGACTATTCGCCACTGCCCCTATGAATCCTTCTCACTTTGTCCAATAAACAAGGCCGACAACAGGGCCGTCAGTCCACACATACCAGCTAGCAACGCGTTCATGTTGCCATAACCAATGCTCTCTCTCAGCGCACCGGCGAGCAATGGCCCAACGGTGAGTCCTGCACTGAAAACCATGCTGTTGATACCGTAAAGTTGGGCCCACGGCGCTTCCTCGAAGATGTCTTTGTTGGCCTTTGCATACTTTTCCACAACACTGCCCGCCTCCACAAGAGCAGGGCTGTTGATCATAGCCAAGCCTACACCATTCAGCGCCAACACGCTCGAGTACAGCGCGATAAGCTGACCATTGTCTAAACGGCCAGCAATGGAAGGCTCGAGAGGTAGTCGCAGAAGCACCAGCATCGGGATCAGCCAGGTGAATCCAAGGACAGAGAAAGTTTTTGTACCATAGCGGTCTATACCCCAACCGAAGACAGGCCCAAGACAAAGGTCTGACATACCAAGCGGTAAGAAGAGCAGACCAGCTTTCAAGCTATCGAAACCGAATTGCTCATGTGCGACGAGAGGGACTGTGGCATCGAGAGCTCCCAGGAGAATGGACTGCATGAAGCCAATCCAAATGGCAGTTAACAGACTGCTATCACGGAGCAGGAGTAGGATGGGTATGGCGCGGGTTAGCCGTTTTTTTGGCTGGGTAAGGCGGTATCCATTAACGTTCGGCGAAGTCTTTGGCAACAGTGGTCTTTGCTCGTTATCATCCGAATCGCCACCAGGAATTGCATCTCGTGTATTGCACGGCGTGTCGTCATATACTGCTCCAGCTTTCTTTTCAATCATAAGTAAGCGCAATATGAGGTCTATGGCAATCAACCCCAATCCAAGACCAAAGACACCGTTGTATCCTGATCTGGCGTACAAAAGACCACCAATTATTGGAGCGAAGAGCCCGGCGACCGAGATGAAGCTGAACACTGTACCCATGGTCTTGCCTAGATTTTCTTGTCCGACGGTTTCAATAACTAAGAAGTGCAGGATTAGTATAAGCATATATTACCAATTTGTGAGGAAAACATACTGATAGCCATGCCAATAGTCCATACCACCCCTCCTGAAGCGCCTTGCAGAAATCTCGCAATTGCAAGGACCGCAATACTCTGCCCTACAGCTAGTAGAACCGTTGCAAGTAGCAACAGAATCAAGCCACATACAAATGGCAATTGGCGGCTGGAAGAAAACTTGTCGGCAAGGAAGCCTGCTATTGGTGACATTATGACAGACGCCGCCGCGTAGATTGCCAGCAAATTCGAGATGGTGGTTTGTATGTGGTCGTCAGGTACACCAACCCGGTCCTTCAACATGAATGGCAGGACGGGCACAAGGAGGGCGTATAGGAAGAAGTCAACGAATGCTCCCATACCCACTGTCAGGACGATGAAGAAGGTATTGGATCGCCATTGTAGACCTAGTGGTGGATGTGCACTGCTTGTAGCCTGTCTATCAACCATAGTTTAATATTTGAACGCGAAACTGTTAACAGTATTAACGTCCATGAAATAAGAAATAAGATTGTGATGTTCTTCAGTTACAAAAAAAGCTGCGAAAGATCCTTACGGTAGGCTAGAGCTAGTATGGAATGCTCTGAGTGACGTCAATAGCCTGAAAGCGAAGCCTCTATGCTGTGAAAACAAAGTTATAATCAAGGCCGAGCAAGACTGCGATGAACTATGGAATCTGTGAGATTCAAAACACTGAAGCTGAAGGGGAAAAGTACCTATGGTAAGCGAGATGATTTCTTGTCATGCAAGCTCACAGAACGCATCCGCACATGGCTGCAGAAAGGCAGTACATGCGCCGTCGAACAACGAGTGGACCACGTTACAGAAGCGCAAATTGTAATTCTCGTGATGGAAAATGACTCGAGCACTTCAAGACCATTCAGTTCGCGTGCGAATACTCAAGTTGGTCTCATCATGGACGGGCACTGGTAGTACAGCGCCAAGTCACGTGCACTCGCCAACTAGCGCGGCCTCGGAATCCGAGCTCCTGCCAGTTTCCGACAGACAAACCCAATTCACCCAACACCAAAAGCCATAAACTACACTCAAGAACACAACAACAATAACCTTGTCCGCCCAGCATGGCAGACAAAATGGAAGGTGTCACAATGGGCAGTAGCATCATAGATCCCAGCAAATACCCTGTACCCATCGAAACGTAAGTTGTGATCACGCCTGTTTTCAGAAGAAAGGTAGGTCCCCTCGATATGCTAACCCGCGACCTTGTAGAATCTACGTAAGTTTAGGAAGAATCCCCATGAGCAATGCGCACACACACATATACACCCTGTACATGTAAGCGCAACATTGTGGCTCGCGATTGCTGATTCGGCGTTTGTTCCCTTAGGTCAACAACCTCGAGGAGCGCATCAAGATCGATACGCTGAAGCAAGCTCTGACACGCGTATTCCAATACTACGGACCGATACTGGACGTGATTGCAAAGAGCAGCCTGAAGCGCAAGGGCCAGGCGTTCATCGTGTTCGACAGCGAAAAGTCGGCGCTCGAGGCGGTCGAGGAAATGAACGGCTTTGAAATGTACGGCAAGGTAATGAAGGTGACGAGGGCGAAGACACACAGTGATGAGACGGTCAAGCGCAAAGCGGCCGAATTGTTCGACGAGCACAAGCGCAAGCGCCTCATGCTCAAAGGTGGGTTGCTCCCCTTTTCTCACCCTCCCCAACTCCTCACATCAGCCCATACTAACCCATGCCTTGCACCCACAGACTTCAAGCGCGCAGAAGAAGACGCAAAAGCGCAAGCCAACCCCACCGTCGCAGCCGAGAAACCGCGTACCGCCAAAACCGGTGCCGCCGCCGTCCCCGATGAATACGTCCGCCCCAACAAGACGCTCTTCCTGCAAAACATACCCCGCGACGTGGACGAGGAGACGCTCACGAATGTGTTTGAGCGCTTTGAAGGCTTCAAGGAAGTCCGGCTTGTGTCTGTCCGCTCCGTGGCGTTTGCCGAGTTTGAGAATGAGCAGTTTGCGATTACGGCCAAGGAGGCGACTGCGAATACGCCGATTGGGGCAGAGGGCAAGCCCATGAAGGTTACGTACCAGCGGCAGCAGTAGGTTACTGTGTATGGATTTTGATGCTTTGATGATACCTTTTGTTGTTTTTATTGCTTGAATTCATGCAAGGGCCTTGGTCAAGGGCCTGTGCAAATGGAGCCTGTTTATTCGGCTGTTATGTTTTGCATTTACTATGGTACAAACTCATGTCACCGTCTAGAGCATTAGGGAACCCGTCCTTGTCAGTATTTCCTTCTTGGCCCGGTCCCGGTCACAAGCCAAAGGGCCCCGGCTCCACTCGAGTCTCTGTCAAGCAAGAGGAGTCTGGACCGTAAAGCTGCTGCAACCACTACGATTAGGCCGAGACACTACTTCAATGCCAGGCCCCTTCTGATCTTGCACCAAAAAAAAGCCCTCAGAAGATGACGTCTTGGTTGTCCTCGTCGGCCAACATGTCTTTGCTTTCGCCAACAGTTTCCTCTGGTTTTGCCTCGGCAGTCTGCTCTGCCTCCTTCTTGACTTGCCTAGCTGCCTCTTCTTCGGCAGCGTCCTTTTGCTTCTTGTTGGAGACCTTTTTCAGACGGTAGAACTCTTCTCGGTCCAGCTCGTCTAGCTCGGAGTTGATGTATTTGATTGTGTTTTCTGTGCGGGGGATGATGACGTGCTCGCTTGCCAGGGTTAGTACCAGAGAGGAAGGGAGAGGAGAGAAGAGAGCGTACATGGCGTTTACACGGCGGTTGACCACCTTGATGACCTCATCTAATATGACAAAGGCTGTTTGAAGACTGGCCAATTCCACCAACGTCTCGACTGCGCGTGCATAGGTCTCTCTACACCGCTGCACCTGCTGGCCACCCTTGCCCAAGCCCGTCAGCGCAAAGTCGTTGCTGTCTGCCTGATAGCTCTCGAATTGTGGAAGGAAGACTCCCGAGACGTTCTCCTGCTTCGTGCGGACGCGGAAGCGAGCCTGCTTGACTGATTCCTGGATCTGGTAGCCAATGTCTCCACCCACGGCATATGTGACTTCGGCGAGGGAGAAGGCAGCCACCTGCATGACTCTGCCCATCTTGCGCTTGGCCTCATCGATGCGGCGCGTAATTTCTGGGGGCTGGTTTCAGTAGGGGGCGAGGGAGGGGGGATTGGTAGCATGGTGGCTAGGACGCACCTCGGAAACGCCTGGGTGGGGGAGGGTGTTAGTAGAGGGTTGGTATAGTGTTTTGTGTTTGTGTATACACGGTAGATGTTGGGCGAATTCAGAAAAAGAGAGAGAGAGAGAGAGAGCGTACTTTGTGAGGGCTTCGCTCTTGCGCTTGAGCAGATCGTGGCCGATTTGGGCGCCCTTCAGCTTGCTCTTCATGAGACCTAGCGACTGGCGGGTCGCGAAGACGGCCTCTCGTGCCTGGGGGTGGGGACGTCAGTATGGGCATTGGGGGTGCTGGTGCTGGTGCTGGTGCTGGCCATATGGTGTAGAGCATGGCATAGCATGGCGTAGCATGGCGTAGCATAGCTACCCATAGCTAGCTAAGCTCCTGGCTGCGGCAAACGTACCCCGCTGCCAGACATGATGGCGGAGATTCTTCTTCAATAGAGTCGAGTACTCTATGTGTTTGAGGGGCCAACGGGGGCGTGTAGGCGCTGGTGAATGTAGGTAGGTCCAGTATGTAAGCCGGTAGAGCATGCAGGGAGCAGCAGGTAAGAGTGGCCGAGTGGTGAATTGGCGCAGCAACGTGACGCAGCTGCTTGCTGGGATCTGAGGCGAGGTCAGGCCGGCCGGGGGAGCGTTGCCCGGACGCGCTAAACGATGTGCTGTATTGTTGTTTGTATTGTAACACGGCATAAGCTGCGGTAACCTAATCCAGCTGCCACACCACCGGTCCGTTGTGGACGACTGTGGTATAATACGATACAAGCACGGCGACTAAGTACGGCAACAAGGGGTGTGAATGGCCGGCTCTCCTAACTGCCAACTGTACAGACAGTGGGGGCCCCCTTGACCGCCCGGGCCCGGGTTTTACGTTGTGCTGCCAACTTTACTTGCTGACTGCTGACTGCTTGAGTGGAGCGAGACCGGCGCCGCTCTCCCGCTTTTGCTTTGGCTGGCTTCGGTGTCGGTGTTGTCGGTGTTGGTTGGTCGCGGTGGTGGTGCGAAGAGAAGAAGAGAAGTGTAGCGCTACGACGCCGACGCCAACGCCCTCCCCAAAAGATCTGCTCACGACCCGCCCGCGCAACCACACACCACACACGCATTGCCCGCGTTGTTGTTCCCTGCCCACCGCGGGCAATTCTCCCCTCTCCCCCTCCTCCTCCTTCTCTCCAGCTGCTGCTGCTGCTGCTGCTGCTGCTGCTGCCGTCCTCGTCGTCCTCGTCGTCCTCGTCGCCGCCATCATGCCCGGCGAACTCCTCCGCACCGTCACGGCCAGCCTCTCGCGGCCCAGCAAGCGCAAGATGGATCGTTCGGCCGACCTCTTCCTCATCACCGACCAGGACGTCGCGTACGAGCAGGACATCCAGCGCAATTCGGGCAGCGTCAAGCCGTGGCTCGACTACTACAGCTTCAAAAAATCACGTGGCACCGTCTTGGAGCAGGCCTTCGTCCTCGAGCGCGCCGTCACCGTCCTGCCGCGCTCCTACAAGCTCTGGAAGCTCTACCTTGAGCTGCGCATCCGTCACCTCTCCAAGAAGAATCCGGCCAAGTTTGCAGCCCAGTATGCCAAGGTCAACGCCCTGTTTGAGCGTGCTCTGGTCCTGCTGAACAAGATGCCGCGCATCTGGGAAATGTACCTGCACTTCCTCATGCAGCAGCCCATGGTCACCAAGACCCGCCGCACCTTTGACCGCGCCCTCCGTGCCCTGCCTCTGACCCAGCATAACCGCATCTGGGCCCTCTACCGCCCCTTTGCGAGCTCTGCCTCGGGCGAGACTGCCGTGCGCATATGGCGACGCTACGTCCAGATCCACCCCGAAGACACCGAGGACTTCATCGAGCTGCTCAAGGACATGCGCAAGTACACCGAGGCCGTCAAAAAGTACATGGAAATCCTCGACAATCCGCGTTTCAAGAGCAAGGAAGCAAAAGGGCCCTTTCAGTTCTGGACCGAAATGATGGACCTCATCATCGACCACGCCAAGGAGATTGATACGAGCGACGACAGTGGCATTGACGTGGAGAAGATGATCCAGAGTGGCATCGCCAAGTTCCCTGACCAGCGAGGACTGCTGTGGGTCGGATTGGCACGCTACTGGATGCACAAGGGCGAGTACGAAAAGGCGCGAGACGTGTTCGAAGAGGGCGTGACTACCGTCATGACAGTACGCGACTTCTCCGTCGTCTTTGATACCTATGTCGAGGCCGAGGAGACGATGATTGGCATCAAACTAAATGAGGCCGCAACTCGGTCCGAAAAAGGGACAATCGATGATGCAGCAGATGCAGATCTCGACATCCGCATGGTCCGTTTCGAGTCGCTAATGCAACGGCGGCCCTTTCTGCTGAACGATGTCATGCTGCGCCAGAATCCACACAATGTCATCGAATGGGAGAAGCGCGTGGCACTGTGGGGCGACAACAAGAAGGAGGTCGTCCAGACCTATACGGATGCCATTGCCGCCATCCACCCCAAAAAGGCAGTGGGCAAATTCCACGAGCTTTGGACAAACTACGCCAAGCTGTACGAAGCAGGCGGAGATCTCAAGAATGCCCGCATCATCATGGAGAAGGCAGTCAAGGTACCGTTCAAGTCGGTAGCCGAACTCGCGGAGATGTGGTGTGAGTGGGCGGAGATGGAGCTCCGCAACGAAAACTTTGACAAGGCCGTGGAAATCATGGCCAAGGCTACACAAGCACCCAAGCGGTCCAATGTCGACTACTTTGACGAGTCCTTGTCACCGCAGCAGCGCGTGCACAAGAGCTGGAAGCTATGGAGTTTCTACGTCGATCTCGTCGAGAGTGTGAGCACCCTGGAAGAGACGAAGAAGGTGTATGAAAGGATATTCGAGCTGCGCATCGCGACGCCGCAGACCATTGTCAATTATGCCAACTTGTTGGAGGAGAACAAGTACTTTGAGGACTGCTTCAAGGTATACGAGCGTGGTCTCGACCTGTTCAGCTACCCTGTCGCTTTCGAGATCTGGAACCTCTACCTCACCAAAGCCGTCGACCGAAAGATTGGCATGGAGCGGCTACGAGACCTGTTCGAGCAAGCCGTGGAAGATTGCCCGCCAAAATTCGCAAAGGTACTCTACCTCATGTATGGCGCCTTGGAAGAAGACCGCGGCCTAGCCCGTCACGCCATGCGCATCTACGAGCGAGCCACGCGCGCGGTTGCCGACGAAGACCGCCTGGAAATGTTCAACTTTTACATCACCAAGTCGGCCTCCAACTTTGGTCTCACCTCTACCCGTCCCATTTATGAGCGCGCCATCACCGCCCTCCCCGACGCCGAGGCCAAGGAAATGTGTCTGAAATTCGCCGAAATGGAGCGTCGCCTGGGCGAAATCGACCGCGCTCGCGCCATTTATGGTCATGCTAGCCAATTTTGCGACCCGCGCACGAGCCCCGAGTTCTGGAAGAAGTGGGAGTCGTTTGAAGTCCAGCATGGCAACGAGGACACGTACAAGGAGATGCTACGTATCAAGCGCAGTGTCCAGGCTCAGTACAAGTATGTTTTCTCCCTTTTCCCTTTTTTCCTTTATTCCATAAACACATCCATGTCAAACAAAATTCACACTAACACTCCCCCAGCACCGACGTCAACTTCATCGCCTCCCAAGCCCTCGCCCGCGGCCAAGCCAACGGAAACCCAACCACCACCGACTCCAACCCAGATGCCGACCCCCCCAGTGAAGACGCAATGGCTGCGCTCGAACGCCAGGCTCGCGCCCCAGCGGGCTTTGTGGCGGCCTCGACGGGTCTTGCGGGTAATATCAAGACTGAGGATGCGCCCGTGAATCCCGAGGCTATTGCGCTGGATGACGATGATCTATGATTCATGATGGGGTGGGTGGATCTATTTTTTTTTCTGCTGGGATGGAGATGAAGTGGGGGAAGGTGGGGTTGGATTTGAGATCTGCGATCTGAGATCTGAGATCTTTTTAGAGTGGGGGTTAGGAGTCAGGGGTCAGGGCTTCAAGAGGGATGAAGAGGAAGAAGTGTTGTGTTTGTCGTCCACTCATTCTCACACCACCACCACCACCTCCAGTCCCCCGTTCCCGCCGCCCGCTCATCCATTTTACTTTTTTTTTCAACTCGCATTTACTCACCGGCGTTTTTCACTCAGGCTTCTTTTGCCTCTTCTCTTTTCGTCACTCTCTCTCTCTCTTTCGCTGCTCTCTCTCTGCTCTTCCTCTAGCTTTCCGCTCTTGAAACCAATGCACACTTTGACGCTGGGCTGGGCTGGACTGGACTGGGAGTGCGGACTCCCGTTTTACTTTGTTCTGTACAGTTGTTGTTGTTTTTTCTCTTCGCTTTTTATATAAGTTGATGCAGGGTTTGAGGGGAGATTTCTTGCATGTCTTGGCGTTGTGATGGGGTTTCTTTTTTTTTCTCTTTTTTTCTGGCTGGCTGGCTTTCTGGCTGGCTGGGCATTTTGTGGGAGCTGTGGGCGGAGTGTAGGGGCGCGTGTGGATGTCGATGTCGATGTGGAGTTTTCTTTCCCGCACGGGTTTGAAGATGGGGATGTACAGACGTGCGTGTGCGTGTGTGTGTACAGTCTGGATTTGGGGTTTGAGCAGGTGAATAAAATGGCATGTGTATGAGGGGGGCCTTCTTGCTTGTGCGGAGGCGCCCCGGGTGAATGATTTCAAGATGGAAGTTTTCGAGGTTTAAGTTTACAGATTTTCATCTCAACTCGACTCAACCCAACCCAACCCACAATCCTCCCCAGAGATTCAGGCACTGTAAATGTATTCGCGAAGGAAGCAGAGGCGGTTTCGTATACAAACAAACCAAACAGACAGACAGATTGTAGCACATGCAAGGGACACGCAAGACGTACAGATATACAGATGGAACTACTTATGGAATATACACGCTACTCTTGAATATGAAATTATTTCTTCTGGTACGTTATCTGGTTGTGGGGAGATGGGGGTGTTGTGTTGGGTTGGGTTGGGTTTGTGTGATAGCAGGGTGGTTGTATTGTGTTGATGTTGGAGGTGAGTGTATGATTGTGTTATAGCCATTAAGTCATCCATAAGACTGGACTTCTCCTCGCGCGGCAATTTGGTCCTGTGAGTCGAGTCGAGTCGAGGGAGGTAATAGTGGGATGGTATCGCCGCTACCATTGTTATTAGCGTTAGCGTTGCAGTCGTAGTCTTTGTCCTACTGCAACGACTCTTTACAGTCAGTACTAGAATTTAATCCAATATAATTTACGCTAGTTAGCACGAGATAGTACGAGTAATCGATGTGTATGTATTTAGATTGCTTCAAATATACAAAATTATATCATTCCTTTTATACCCTTTACCCCCCAGAAAATCTCCCTCCACTACGGTAGCAAAAAAAAGCTCTCTCAACAACAACCATAGCACCACTCATTCTTTATCCCACCATACCCGCGCCAAGCCAAAGTATTCTTTATCCCCAAACCACGCCCAGACCACCCAGCACAAACACCCCCCCCCCCCCCCCTCTCCCGCCGTCCAGGCTCAAAGAACTCGCATCGATATTCCCACGCGTAAAGCTTCCCGTCACATCCAGCACTTGCACAATGCATTTGAACTTTACCAAACGCAAGAGTATAAACGGAACGCATATACAGATGCGGCCAAGATTGCTTGAAAATTGTATCGACTGTGTACTGGTGATCCCGAGTAGGCGGGTTTCTTTGGGGGAATAGGCAATAAGCAATACGCGATAAACAATATTATCAATACTCAAGACCAAGACTGGGAACAAGTTTTCATTCATTCATAACCGCGGTGCAGGCAGTGGCTCGTGGGTGTGAGGATTTGGGCTACGTATTGTTGTGTCAGTGTGGGGCGGGAGATTTTCCAGGACGGATTATAGGGACGGGGTTGGTTTTGTGTGTTGTATGTGTTATCGGGGGTTGGATGGGAGTGTTCATGTTGGGGTTATAATTTCCTGTATCGATTTGGTAGTTTTTTTTTTCCTTCTACATTTACACCCATCTACACCCACACCAACACACTCACACCCCGCCATACCACCCCACCATGCCCCCCAACCCCCACCACACCAAAGTTTTCTGGCCCTTGGTGCCAGGACCTGTATGTCTCTGCCCTTTCCCATCATATCCACTGTTTCGTAGGTACTTGTCAGAATACCACGGATACTGTGCACGTTGCTACTTGTAGAGAGACGTGGCTGACAGGTATATATGTATATAGGCACCGCGTCCGTTACCGCCGTCTGGAAGGCAGGGGTGTAGAGGGATGTGGGGAGAGGAAAAATATGTTCTTGGATCAAGAGTGGTGTGATATCACAGTGGAATTACTGTGTAAACTTGTGTGCGCGGGAGGCGTGTAGGCAGCGGGAGATGTATACGCCGTGGCAGGAATGTGGAGGTTGGGATAGAGATTTATAATATATGGAAGGGGACGACTTAAAAGACAAGTGTTACTATGAAATCTCGCTGCCCGTTCCATTCTTTCCCGTTTCAAGCCGTTTGATCCTCAGCAATGGTAGTGATACGCCGACCTCACAACCCTGTCCTTGTCAAAATCCCAATGGCAATGGCAAAAGAGAAGAAGAAACTACACAAGACACATCATGTATCATATTTCACACATCACATAGCCAAAGCAGGACCCATAAAATATAAAGAGCGACACTTGTATTCAAACCCAAAACTAAAAAGAAAAGGACAACCAACTTGTGCAACACATGTAGTACAACAGCCCCCAATTTTGACCCTCAACTTTCATCTGTCACTTCCCATCCATCGATTCGATTCCATCCATTCAAGTTGCCCAAAGCTGAACCAATACCACTCTCACAATAAGAACGATGACCAGGAGAAGCAGCAGCACCGGCACAGGCTCTTAGCAGGGGCGCATCTACCAAGGAGGACCCAGGCTGAGTTGCTCAAGCTGCAATGACAGGAGTAGGTTGGGGTGCAGGGGTAGGTTGGGGTGCAGGATTAGGTTGGGGTGCAGGAGTAGGTTGGGGTGCAGGAGTAGGTTCAGGAGCCTGACGCCTCTCAACATTGCGCTTTGCCTGCTGTGATGGCGCGGGCCGGACTTCAGCAGTTGGCTGGACTTCAGCAGACTGTCGGACTTCAGCAGTTGGCCGGACTTCAATAGACTGACGCCTCTCAAGATCGCGCTTAGCTGGCTGGGTGGGCGCAGGTCGGACTTCAGCAGATTGCCGGATTGGAGCTGGCTTGGTTGGCGCGGGTTTGGCTTCAGCAGTCTGGCGCCTCTCAAGATCGCGCTTAGCTGGCCGGGTTGGCGCAGGTCGGACTTCAGCAGATTGCCGGATTGGAGCTGGCTTGGTTGGCGCGGGTTTGGCTTCAGCAGTCTGGCGCCTCTCAAGATCGCGCTTAGCTGGCCGGGTTGGCGCAGGTCGGACTTCAGCAGATTGCCGGATTGGAGCTGGCTGGGTTGGCGCAGGTTTGGCTTCAGCAGTCTGGCGCTTCTCAACCAGCTCGGCAACGTCAATCAGCTCAGCCTCATCGAGCACGACTGGGACGTCACGGCGAATCGTGTTCCTTCCATTGGCGCCACCGGCCTGAGAATCGCGTTCGACGAGCTCGGTGATATTGGCACCCTGAGGTCTCGGGAGGGCGAGGGTGGAGGAGGTGGTGAAGAGGAGGATAGAAAGGATGGTGGCTTTGGAAAGCATGATTGCTTCTTAAGACTTTTTGGAGTTGTTGGGTTTTTTGGGTTTTTTTATGTTGGTTTGTGAGGTGGACTGTGGATTGGAAAGATGTGTGAAGAGTGAAAGAGGATGATGATGAAAGTGATGCTCTGGAATGAAGATGGCAGGCTGTTTGGGCAGCTATTTATCATGTTGGACAGGTGGTGGACTTGTACGGGGAGTGTTCAACACCAAGCGTGATGGTCGTACCCAGTATCCCACAACCGTGCCAGAATCCAAAGTCCGTACGCCATGCGTCGTCATTGCAAGCCCATCACCATGTCTCGTCTCAGACATACTTTCGCAACTCTTTCCCTCTCTTCTCCAGTATCACTGGTGTTGTGGTAACACCAAGTAACTATTTCGAGGCTCTCCTTCTCTTTCCACTCCCGACCACTCCTGCTCACGTCCAAAACACGCTTGGGCCAAGATGGGATCGCTGCCAGCCCACAACGCCACTCGTACAACACTCGTACACCTTGTAGTCTCATCATTCTAAGCATCTGGACCTGACGCAGCACCGGTAGTGGAGTAGAGTAGTTTCAGAGACCATCGCCCCAAGTAGATGTGCCGTCGCAAGTGTCCAGAAATAGTGTTTTGATATGGTGGCTTGGCTAGCATTTGGCAGAAAACTCGGAATCGGACGTTTCGTGGACAGTCGAGGGAAAAGGAATGTTGTTCGAGTACGAGTTGTGGCGCACGTTGGTAGACAAGTAAGCCGAGATGGAGTAGTCAGGAACGCATAGGTGGTTGACCATTGAGACGTCTAGGAGCGAACCGAAACAGGGTCCTGGGCTGATCGGAAATTTGTCGGGACGGGAGGAAGCGATTTGCCGCAGAGATCCGGATATTTTGTTCTTGTACTCGTTCCCCACACGTTTGTCGCGTTTGCTCAATGCGTTTTGTTAGCTTATGCCCAATGCGTTCGTCAGCTTCTGCCTAATGCAGTGCGGAGATCGACAAGCCAACGTCATGGCCCTGAGTAATTCGAACTTTGTTCTATTCTCGCTGCTTCGTCGCAGTGTAGCGCTCATGCTTTGTCAGGTGAAACAATCAGTAATTACAGAACGATCAACACATACATGGAGTCAGGCCACAAGCGTGGATACCCTTGGCTCATTGATACTCGTACCACGTTCGCTCGTCATAAGGAAAGCCTGGCGGAATTCCCATTCCGTTAATGCCGCTGACACCGTTCAGGTTTAGGTTTCCGCTCATGGCTGGAAACCCGTCCAAACTACCGCCAACAGGCCCGCCGCCATTCACATCCACGGAATTACCGGAGACCGGGTACCTATTTGCTAGTGAGGCAGTGCTGGTGGACCATGACGCGATATCGTCGATGCTCTGGGGGTTCCAGTTCTCGAAGCCAGAAGCTAGTTGTGTCTGATCACGGTATATCCAGTCTTGGCCTTCTCTGAGTAACTGGTCGACGCCACCAAACAGCTGACTGGGGGAATTCCCTGCAGTCGTACCCCCATCCACTGACTGGCGGCCATGCGTGGAAGCTGGGGTAGCTGGAGTCATGGCAGAAGTCTGTGGTGTTGCAGAGTGATGCTGGGACCGCCGGTATGCGAGTGCGTTTTCGTCAGAAGGAGGCAAAGAGTGGGTATCGCAAGAGCGTGTAAAAGAGTCAGTGCCCAGAGAGGCCCCGCTATTCGGACCTGATTGACTGAAAAACTGAGGTGATGTCATGTTGGCCAAGTTCATGCTATAGGGTTGAAGTGATGGCGAAGCATGATCTGTTGGAGACGCTTGCTGATCCAATAGAGGCGCAGCCTCCCGGTTGGCCTTTGGTGTAGTAATTTCATTCCACGGACCAAACTTTTGATCGGTGCGAAGTAGTACTGCAGCAGCTTCTTCTGGTAGCTCGACATTCCATCTTTTCGCAAGGACGCTCAAGATGCCAAGAGTCCTTCTAGCGCAAAGCCAGCCTTCCGCAATTTCCTCGAGATGTTTGACACCGTGGATGATGTCGCGTTTAGCATTCTTTTCTGGGAGATTGAGAAGATGTATAGTACAGGCCGAGTGCGCGATATATACGCAAATATTACATATTTGTCTCAGGCCATGTGATCGTTTGTAGAGTCGAAGAAGCTTTGAGATCATTGCCGCTGCTTGTGTACAGAGCTTTCGAGGGGAGACATGTGACGGGAGAGGGGAATTGTTGGGGTTGTACTTGAGAAACGGGCGGAAAAGGTGAATGTAGAGTAGCTGGAAGAACATACTGTTTCACGTTAGTGACAACTCACTCCTTCACCATCTATGACTTACTGCATGACTAGCATGTGCGGCAGACCTCCTTCCTTGGGCTCCAACTCTTTGGGCAGCTCTCTTCTCCACGTCTCAAGTCGCATGTGTATCTCACTCAGCTTCTTCAGCTCTGCCTGTTTGCCCTTGGTTTTGTCAATGTCGATGGGGTTGTAGAAGAAGTTCATCAGGTCGCTGGATATTTCGCAGAGTTTCGAGATTTGAAGCGCAATGGCTCTCGTCCGACTTGGCTGGGAGTGTGCTTGGCTGATGCCAGAGTCCGTCACTGCGCTCCACGTTTCGGCGTCCTCGATGGGAAAGACGTCAAACTTGGGGACCGTGAGTATGGTGTTCGGTAGCTGTGGCATGCGTCCTAGGTAATTGCTCCAGCACTTGTCGAACAAAAAGCAGCCCCAGAAGGTGATTCTCCGCGCATCCTCTTCCCTCTCCTCGATTGCATCTTTGCTGTGCATTCCGAGGTTGAGACCAAGGTCACAGGCCATGCGGAACGACATGCCACTATATACCCAACCTTTGGCCTCTCGCCCACAGCCAGCCTCTCGTACTGACATCAATGCCAGGGCCTGTACGGTGGCCAAATCTGGCACCTCGTGCAGATCGCCCTCCATTATCAGCCTCTTGGCTTCCTTGAAAAAGTGGTCTCCTGCCGTCGCTGAGTCGTCTCGAACCGCTCTCGCTGCAGGCCACGAGGTGAAGTGGCAGCCAAGCGCTAGCATTGCATTGACTAATAAGGGGGTGCAGTAGTGCATCTTTCTTGACGAGCCAGGTGCCGGCTTGCCTAGTCTGAATTCTTGCAGAAAGAGGTTCTTGGACAATGTTGTGAAGAAGCTGTAGTGCCAGCAAAAATACATGCTGATGAGATGCTGCACGAGCTCTGGATCAGAGGTCACAGTGGTCCATGAGCAGAAGGGATCCTCTATCTGCGCGTAGGCATCGTCTGGGTACGTGTCTGGCGATTCTGGCGCGTCGCTGCCATTGCCCAGGTATATGAGATGCGATGTTCCCCCAATGTACCTGGTGGAGCCGTCCTCGAGGCGCAGCTCCCCCATCTTCCCGCTCAGCTGACTCTCAAAGGTGGCATTCGCTGCAGCCATGGCGGGCGTGGACATGGGGCTGATGGGCTCGTCTTCCTCCTCTTCGCCATTTTCTTTTGCAATAATGGCCTCGGCGACCGTATCCAAGCTCTCGCATGTGCGTATCTGCTGGACGAGTTCGGCAACATCATCCTCTGGGTAGTTGAGGATGGCCTGTATGAGGGTGTGCAGAGTCGAGTCGCGCGTCTTCAGACTGTCCATGTCCTTTTTGTAGACGCCCTTGCGGCGGTGGTCTGAGTTGGGGTCGTAGATGCATTGCGTGTTGTACACGGCGGCGCAAGCTGAACTGCGACATGGGCGTATCGGTGTCAGTAATGCTCTATGCGGTCGTTCTACACGTCGCTACCTGCTCGAGGGGGCATCACCAAGGGAGTGCCTTACCATGCCGGTGTTGTTCCGTCACACTAGATACCATGTCAGCACGTGGTCTCCCGCGCAGATCAGCTGGCGCTCTGCTGCTCCTCGGAGAAAGCAGATGCCAGACAGACAGGTAAGTGACAGTACGGTAGCACGGTTGAAGAAGCCAAGAGATCAAGTTGCATGCGGTAGGTAGGTATATACCGGTACCTATTACCCATGGTACGTACCTTGCTCTTGCGCTTCCTGCACGGCACACACGCTGACGAGATGCATCGCCGCTTCTTTGACTCTTCGCTCTCTGCGCTCCTCTTGCCCCGTCGCCCTTTCTTTGCAGATGAATCCACAAGAGGAGCGGCGCGCGGCTCGCTGCTGCCCGTGGCTGACGCAGTGGTGTTGTCCAT